ATGAAATTGAGCCAACTTCAGAGGACAGCGGAAGACAGGAGGGCCTGGCGGGAGCTGGTCCATGGGGTCGCGAAGAGTTGGACTCGACTGTGCGACTGAACAACAACAACAACAAATGATCATCAGTGAGCAGGCCTCTCATTCCTCTGAATGCAGAGGGTTATTGGGGCAGATGTCAGACTTGGGTTTCCACCCTGCCCGTTCCAGACTATCAGTGCAGGAAATATTTTAACATAAAACACAAGCATGGCTGAAAATACCACTCCTCTTAATAGAAAACTTGATGGTCCTGTGTTTGAAATGGGCCACTGGCAGATAAGTAAGGGTATTTGTATACACGGGAGGATGCGGGGGGAGAAGTCACTAGCTACAAAGGAAGAACAGAACAAAATTGGTCTGATGGAGAGAGAACATGTCCATTGCCCCCGAGGTGGCCTGGAATGTTGAGAGCAGTGGAATCAAAAGAAGAAAACCCCACGGCAGGCAAGAAATGGCCTTGAGCATCCCATCCAACAGCTAAATAGGTTACAATTTAGAGGAGGATGCTGGCAAATTAGGGGCAGAGGGATGCATGGTGAAGCGGTACAACCAAGACACAATAGCAAGAGACTGCTGAACTCCAGGGAAATTAATAGTTTCCTGCTCACTTAGTGAGCACCATAGAGCACTATAGAGCAACTAGGCTACTGTTCCCCACCTCTCATAATTCCTCACGGGACCCAAACTTGTGCACAGAGATTTTAAAAGTATAATAAATATGACAATCCGAGGCCCAGTAAATGGCCTGGGAGAACCCGTTGTCGTGGCCTTGTTGATGCCGGGCAGGTGTGAAAGTCCTCAGTCCCTTGGGATGCCACTGAGAGTCTCATGTGGGGGGGGGGGGAGTGACAGCAAAAATAATTATTTCCAAGTAGAGCTCAAGAAGTGGCTCAAATCTGGCACCTGGGAAATATCAGCTGGGCTCATAACTGCTTGCGTCTGCAAGAAGAGTTTTGATTTTCCAGTACTTGGGGGTACAATTTCAAAATCACTCCGAACAGGCTTGAAAAGAACAAAAGGGACAAAGCTTAAAAGGATGCCAGAGCACGAGAGTTGCAAGGACTCATGTCTCAGTCTCTCCCCCTCTCAGCCACTGCCTAACCCCTCCGTCCAAAGCTTCTGTGTGCTTGCCACGATAACAAATTGCTGATTAATAATGGCATCTTCTTCTTTCTCTCTCCATAGGTGTCGGTGCTCCTAAACCTACCAGACCACCAAAACAGAATTCGCTGGGTGGGGAACACAGCAGCCCACTGCCTATTAAAGTGAAACATCAAAACCCAGCTCCCTACCCTCATTTCCATATGACGACAACAACCCCGCTAGCAATAATGCACAGATGGAGCTTTCTCCTAAAAATAGGGTAGCCTTTGAAAAGCAGAGAAAGCAGAAACGGCAGAACATCGGAAGACATTCTTGGAGTGACACAGAAAGTGCCGTGGGAGGCGGGGGGGGGGGGGGGGGGCGGGGCGAAGAAGATCAGCATTTAGGTCAGCCACACAGACCAGTCTGAAGGTCACTCTCTCTGCCAATATTATCACATCAACTAAAGGTATCATCCCAAACCCAACTGCCCCCTTTGGAGTGACTCTATTCATGTGAACACAGGAAGCTGCTAAATCAGACCCTTTGCCCATCAGAGCCAGTCTTTTTGTCTACGCAGACTGGCAGCAGCTCTCCAGGGTCTCAGGCAGAGTTTGATTCATTCTATTCTATTCCATTACGGAGTCCAAGGTGGCACGCGCTAGGTTCCCAAAGAGCTTATTGCATTGTCATCCCTGCCCTCCTGTCAGGAAGCTCAGAGCGGTATGCATGGACTGAACATATCTGGAAGATATGAAGCTGCCTTATATGAAGTCAGAACACTGGTTTATCTCTCACAGGACTGTCTACTCTGACTGGCAGCAGCCCACCAGGGAGTCAGGCAGAGAAAGTTCTTCCCAGCAACAGGGGATCTTATTTACTTATTTAAAAACATTTGTATCCCACCTTTCCACCCAACTAGGGTCCTCAAGGCAATACAGTTACAAAAGAAACTGAAATGCAATCACTGCAAAATGGTGCCTCACGGTCCCAACCCCAAAAGGCAGGTCCAGAAGGACAGCAAAATTGATGGCACTACTGAAAGCCATCCAGGAGAATCAAGAGGATCGCACTCCCTCTGACCATGTCCTGGCACAGGTTATCCATTAGTGTGACAAAGACCATTTCAGTCCCATAACCGGGTCTTAAACCAGATGGGAAGTATCCAGACATTCCATCCAGGAATCCATGAAGCTGTCTGGTTACTACTTGTTCAGTCACCTTGCTCAAGATTGATATATTTGAGTTTGGATGGTAGTTACTCCACTCTCCTACATCCAGAGCATATTTCTTGAAGAAAGGATGGACGAACAACCGCAATCTTCTGCACGCAAAGCAGGTGGCCTGCCACTATGCTGAACCCCTCCTCCACTTTTCTCCCACCAGCCTTCTGAAGCTGAAGAAGCTGAGCGTGCACAACTGGCCAAAGGTAACCCAGTGAGCTTTGAGAGGCAGGGAGGCCGGGTCTTCCTGGCCCTAGTCCAAAATTCTAACCGCTGCACCACACAGATGTCCCATGCAGGTCCTGACCATAGTCGCCAGTTTGGTGTAGTGGTTAAGTGCGGTGTAGTGGTTAAGTGTGCGAGCTCTAATCTGGGAGAACCTGGTTTGATTCCCCACTCCTCCACTTGCACCTGGCTGGATGACCTTGGGCAAGCCGTAGTTCTGATAAGAGCTGTTCTTGAAAAAGAGCAGTTTCTGTCAAGAGCTCTCTCAGCCCCACCCACCTCACAGGGTGTCCGTTGTGGGGAGGGGAAGGGAAAGGAGTTTGTAAGCTGCTCTGAGACACCTTTGGGTAGTGAAGGGTGGGGTATAAATCCAATCTCTTCTTCTTCTTCAGCGAGGCTGCTGTATCTAGTGTCTTCTAGCTGTACCCAGGGACTCATTTATGTATTCAGGATAGTATTCCAACCACACAGGCGGTCTTCAATCTGACTGCCAAATTTCACACCACATTGATCCTCAGTTTAAAGGCACGAGATGCACATTGGGCCCAGGGGGAACATCTCTTGCTCCTCTTTCAAAGACAACAGTGCCTCCACTGAGGCACTTAAAAAAAAAAAAAAGCAAGCAAAGCAAAAATTAACAAAATCAAACCACTTGCCCGGGCCCCAAGCGTAAATCTAGTAAAAGCAGCTAAGGAACATTGCTGAAACAATTGTGCATAGTAACCAAAATGTTTATACCCATGTCTTATGTTGCATCCTTGCCCAAGCTGAATTACTATTTTCAATCATTTATTCTGCTTTTACAAATGAGGAGGCTATATATAGGACACTGTGCTCAACCTCCCCCCGAAACTTTTTTCAGCCTCCCCCTAGGATTCTAGAAACAACTGTGTGATTTAAAAAAAAAAATGAATCAAACCAAAATGTCACAAAACAGCAAGTAAATGTTCAAGGTACCACAGAGCTCTTCATTAGGCTGAATGCTCACAACAAACACACTTCTTCATTAGGCTGAATGCTCACACACTTACAGCGGAGGCGAGAGAAATTGGACTTCTGTTACATGACAGCACACAACACACCTGTCCCCCGTCAACACACAGCCATCTAGTCTATTGTGGCCAGCCAGATGCTGGACAGCCTCTTCATTTTGCAGACCTAGACAGGCAACAAAACCTGCACATTTTTCAAGTCCTTGGGGGGCCACTGCATGGCAAGTTGTGCTTGTGCCAAAACTTGGCCACGTGAGGTGGTCTTACAAGACCAGGACTCAGGAGGTGGCGAGACAATAATGCTGCTCCAGTCCTGCTTGGGGAGAGCCTGCGCTTCAGAGACAGAGCATAAGCTTTATTTATTTATTTATTTCATTTCATGTATACCTCGCCCTCCCCGCACACGGGTTCAGGGTGGCTTACATAGGCACAAAGGGCAGTAAAAGTAAAACAGGTTAAAACAATTAAGACTAAAATTCACATCAAACAGGATACATGAAAGACTATAAATACACACTCCCACATTGCATATCAGGGAGGGATCAAAGGGGGGGGGGACCACGATGTTCCAGATGACCAATCGGCCCAACCCAGCGATACTGCTCTGCAGTTGCACGGTGGTGGTAGTGGCGGCAGCGGCTCCTACTCAAAAGCCTGGTGGAAGAGCTCCGTCTTGCAGGCCCTGCGGAACTGTAAGAGGTCCCGCAGGGCCCTGATCTCTTCCGGGAGCTCATTCCACCAGGTAGGAGCCACCACCGTAAAGGACCTGGCCCTCGTGGTAGCAAGCCTGGCCTCTTTGCATGAAGGAGGTCCTGGGTTCCACCCCTGGCACTTGTAGTTAAAGGATCTTTTCTGCCTGAGACCCTGGAGAGCTGCTGCCGGCAGGAGATATGTCTATGCTTCCCATCTGGAAGCAGATCAGCCATCACTTCTTTAATCCTACCCTTCCTCCAAGCTCAGTACAGTGTATGTGGTTCTCTCTTCCTCCATTTTATTCTCATCACAACCCTATGAAGTAAGCTTACAGAGTGAGAATAGAAGAAAGCATCTAGGAATTTGAACCCAGGTCTCTTCAAGCCTACTCTAACCAATGTATCCCACTGGCTGTTTCAGCCAGGGTTCCATTATCTATTTGCCCTCCGCACTATTTTCAGAAGCATCTGGAAGAGATGGAAAAGTACAGCCAAATGTTTGGAAGATGCCATGTGCCAAAGAACTTCAGAAGCGAGTAAGTCATTTGTCTGTATGAGGGGGAAGGATATAGTCAAGGTGGGGTTTTAGGTGTCTAAAAGGCTGCCAAATAGGTGAAAGAGCTGTTCTGCAGGAGGAAGAAAAGGCCGTGTGGTTCTACTCCTTCTCCAAAGGGCAAAACCAGAACTCTTTTGCCAGGCTGTTTCTGACTTGGTCCCAGAGTGGAATCCTGTGCCACTTTCCTTACCTGGGGGAACTTCCGCTTGATGGATGTCAGTGCTCCCTCTGGAAGCTTGGCCAGCTCAGAATCTCGAACTGCATGCACCGTGGTGGCTCTGGGCTGATGGGTTAAGGCCTCTACCTGGGGGACAAAGAAGAGAAATGGCTAATGAGAAGACACTGGTCATTTCTATGGGGCTCCTAGAACACGCCAGAAAAAGTGTGAACTGCCCCAATCTGTTGCTAACTTCATAAATGCCTCTGTGTTCTCAGGCAACCCAGCCTCAGTTTGCATCCACAAGATACTCCAAAGCAGTGTCCCAGATCCCCCTCGATACAAACTGTGTGGCACAGCTGTGGTTTTGTGGAACATGCAAGCATAGCTTTGCCCGAACTAAGTTCTGCAAGAAACAAGACAACAAAAACCCTAAAGACTTATTAAAGTCTCATGTACTAGACCACAGGTGAGGCTGCCTGTTGAATCTCTGCACAATTTGTTGCTCTGGCATTATCTTCTTCCAACAACCTAGGGCAGGCAACTCTCCTGCATCTCTCCATTGCAAATGAGCCAATCGCTCTCCGAGCAAAGGACCAGCAGAATTACCTGCACTCAGAGGAGGCATGCCTGGAACAGCAATTAACACAGAGAAATTAAAGGTGGACTGCTCTGAGGAACCGAATTCTAACTCTTTCACATTCTACACAGGAAGCATGGCTTTCTAGACTCAGCAGATCTGGCCACAATGACCCATGCTTCTATAGCTTCTGAGTTGAATTATGGCAACATGCTCTACATGGAGTGGCCCTCAAAGACAACCTGGAAGCTGAAATTGGTACAAAATATGACTGTAATCTGACTAGCACACAATGTTCTCATATTTAGTTAATTCTAAAGCAAATCTGCTGGCCTCCAATTTGTTACTAGGTTTAGTTCTCAAGGTGCTGGCCAATGCTCCCTCAAAGCTCTGGAGTCTTGTGAGCAAAAATTCTACTTTGTGAGCTACGGGCATTAAAGTTGTGAGCCAGCGATTTGGCTACTGCATAAATGAGTTTGCTCTGGAGCCATCCATCCTGAGCTAAGACAGAAACGTGTGAGCTGGAGGCTAAAAACCTGTGCGCTAGCTCACACTAACTCAGCTTAGAGGGAACAATGGTGCTGGCTCTTACCGATAAAGCCCGTCTCAATCAGGAACCAATATACTTGAAGGACCATCACTCCCTGTATGAATCCAGACACCAGCTTAGGTTTGCTCAGCAGGCCTCACTCACTGTTACACCCCCACCCCCCAAGCAGATCCATTTATCTTCTGCCAGGGCTTATGTTTTCTCTGTGGTGGGCCCTGTTTTGCGGAGTGCTGCATTTGAGAAAAATGCAAAGCTCTCCGTAATGTCTTTCTGTCGGGACCACAAGACAGTTTTATTTTGCAGGGTCTTTGAGTTCACAGGCTAAATTTGGGTTTGGGTGCTTCTGCCACTATTTTTATTGGGTTGTAAGGGGTAGCTCATTCATCTGTAGTTTAATTTCCTATTACCACTGGACTTCTGTACATTGCTTCAAGGTTTGGAAAGGCAGGATACAGTTTTTTACATAAAATATATAAAACTTTTCTGAATGCAGGAGAAAAGTGGGATCCCAAACTTAATTCAGGAAAAAAATTCTGGCTCATCAATCAATTAAACATTTGGAAGCCAACCCATTTTTATTCATATAACATTTGAATGGTTCTGTTGGGGAGGGGGGGAACCACGTGCTGCGTGAAGCCACGTCACCCGCTGCCCAGAGGGAGGTGCTGACATTTCCCTGCTCAGGAACACAGCCTGGTTCCTGCCACACTGAAAGCAGGCGGCTGGGATAAAATCCCACACACGGAGCGTGGCAGTGAAAACGGAGCAAAGCTTAGCAACTAACAGATCCTGGTACAAGAATGGAGGTCACTTGCTACTTGGTACCGTTTCCCTGCTGCAAGAGATGTTGGGGAACATATATGCATATCCACTCATTAGAAAAATCAAGGTTTTTACTGGAGACTTCAGGTCTCCTCCCCCCACCCTTGCCCAATTCAGACTCCACACTCCTCTGCAAGCTTCCTTGAATGCAAGACAAGTTCAGTACACAATGCAGATTCTTGTCCTGGCTTAGGGGAAAAGAGGATCAAAAGATTAGCAGTGGATAAGAGGAAGAATAAGGGAGGGGGGAAACGGAGCAATGTCCACGTTTGTTCCACTGACTTTCCAGAACAGACAGAATTCTCCTTTCTTGGAGACCATACATCACATCGGTGTTCCTAGGTAAATGAAGTCTCATCTGTGGTGCTGGACCTTCCATTTGTCCAGTGTGGGCAAAGTGGTAGTGTGCACTTCCAGAAAAGTGGCTATTAGGTGCAGAATCACACATCCTTAAAACCAGTGTGGAACTCTCATGCTTGAATTCCTGCAGGGCTTGTGGCTAGGGCCATCTATCTATCCACCCACCCCATTTTTATACCACCCTTCCTGCATGAAACTTGGGGCTGGGGGAGAGACATTGTTCTTTACTTCCTCAACTAATCTTCAGTGAGGAACGTTAGCCTATTTTAGATAGGATTATATACACTCTGCTTTGGGGGAGGGCAGAATTAAGATTTTACACCCAGGCTTTCTAAATCTATGTGCTTCAGAAGCTGAATTCCACAAGCGACGTGCATTTTCTATACTGATCAAGTTTGCATCATTTATTCTGGATTGGCTGATAATGGGAATGGGAAAGGGAAAGCAGTCTTGCTCCAAATTTTATCCAACTCCTATCCCTTCCTTCTGAGACTTCATCAGGCACAACCACACACTTTTGAGCAGATATTCTGAGCCACGAGGGGTAAAAACGTGCCTTCACACAAAGACACCCCCCCCAGAAAGCAGAGATTCACAAGCAACAATATTCCGTCACTGTTTGCATGCTCCGTAGTCCTGCAGAACTGAAGTATGCCTGCGGAGTTCTTTGGCTAACCAGGCAATACGCAGAGGTGGGGGGTAGAGGAGCAGGCATCAGCGGGGCTGCAACTCTAAAGGTTGCACAGAGTACAGCGTGTCTTCTTGGAAGGCTTTGGAGCGTCTGGCCTCCCTTGCCAAGGTACCCAACAGAAGGCCAGCTTCTGTGCTGCAAACTCTGAGGCAGCCAAGCCTCTTCACATTAGAGGAACCAGGCTTGTCAGAGCGGCTGTCGAGATGGTTTTTCGCTGGAGCCTTCTCCCAGCTTCTAGGGTTTATTTATTGCATTGTGCTTCACACAAGAATCCAGAGTCATCCTAAATGACGGAGGGCATCTGCCTTGTTTCCCTACCTCCGCGCCCTCTCCCAGTCCTGAGGGGGGAAAAAAACCCAGTGACTTCCGGGGAGTGACTATCTCAGTACACAGGATGGGAGCAACCTAAGCCTCCACTGGCCATGAAGAACTCATCGGGGGCCTCGGGCCAGCCAGTTCTCACATCCTAGCCTGTATAACCGGGCTGTTGTGAGGAGGGGAAATCATGTACAGCACCCTGCACTCCTTGGAGAAAGGGTGGGGTAAAGAAAAATGCTGTCACTGGCCTAACATCGGTAAAAGAGACAACTTCGAAGAGAAGACTGTATGAAGCTTCATCGTGGCTCTGTCCAGTCAGGGAAGCAGCACAAGGAATGATCAGGATCATGCTATTTACCAGCAGCTAGAAACTAATGAAAAAAAAAACGAAAGGAGGTTTCGTAATGGACTAGAGGCCTGCAGCCAAAGATCTGGCTTGGGTTGGTTTCCCCCAGCCAGTGTGTGAATTTCAGCTTTAATTTAAGGATTTTTTTAAAATTCATTTTAGTCAAAGGGGGAAAAAAACCAGCAATAGAAATGGCCCACATAACCCTCCTCCCTCTTTGAGGGGGAGGAGGAAGAGAGGCAAATAGGTTTTTAGATCAGCCAGCCATGTATATGAAGAGATAAGGAAGAAAAGCAGACTGTGGGAGAAAGCAGAAAAAAGGAAAAGGGGAAGAACCAGATCTGTTTCACATCGGAAGAATGCCCCCCAGCCACGCTTTGGGATCTGAATCCAGGTCTCTCTGGACCAGGTAGAGCACTCAACTCACTGTACCGGACTGGATCTCAAACCAGTCTTCTGCTGAACAATTGGAGAGGCAAGGGGCAGATGGGCTGCCTCTGTAAAAAAGAAAGACCAGTACTCTCTGGGGAAGAACAGCTCCTGCAGGCTTTTCATTTCTGAACAAAAACAAAACCCCAAACATCATTCTGCTCACTAGTAAGATGCCTGCTAGCGAGGACGTTGAGCAAAATACCAAACTGTATGTTAAACCAGAAGGATACAGGGGGAAAGTGCACACAGTGGGGGTTCACAGAAGATGGATTGCATCAAGCTAACCTTAAAGCCTTTTATAGACACCGTAACTGGCCCTCTGTTTTGAACTACAGGTCATGTTTGCATCTGATCAAGTGTCACACAGGAAATCGCTACTCAGTTCTACACAAAATAGGAATTAATTGCGGTATTAATTTATTTAGGGACTGAATAAACATTACGGCTTTTTTCCAGGGCTTGAAGGCTTTACAATTTGGTCAGTCAGAAAACTGAAATGCTGGTCAATTAACCAGTGAGGGCAAATTTCAGTTGGTGAAAGTCAGTTTCTGATATCGTTGTATGTTTCAATGAGGCTATTTTGGGTCTCACAAATACTGTACTGAATGCCACAAGAAGGAAATAAAAAATAATATTTATTGCTTTAAAATCGCCCATGTTCTCCTTCAGTGTCCTCTCTATCTGGTGTCCCATCAGGATCTTCTGTATCCCATAGTAGCTCAATTTTTAAGAGACCTCTGATGATTTTAAGGTTCTTTTCTTGCTTGATAATCCAGATACAGAAATAACTGAAACAGCAGCAAAATTTCTTCTCAGTGCTATGATTACACGTCTTGATAAGTAATACTATTAGGGGTTTTTATGCTTTTACTTTGTTTTCTTATGTTGCAATTCCAATTTTACCTTATATGGATTTTGTACTTTCTGATATGTAATTACCTGGCTTCCAATTGTGTGTGTGTGTGTGTGTGTGTTTGTGTGTGTGTGCGCGTGCGCCAATAAAGGCTTGTCTGTCTGCTTCAAAATGAGAAGCTGCCTCTAAAACTTTCCCCAAAATTCTATCATACTACAGAGTTCAGGGAGAAGTCCAGAGTGTCGGCAGATGTTCTGATGTCAAATGACTTCACATTTGCCCTTTGCCCTGTTCCCAGAGTACTTTGGGGTGCCGAGAGGCAGCCAGTCAACCCTAGACTAGTCTTGTGCTGCTCTTTTTTATTATTTTTAAAAGAAATTATTCTTCCCCTGAAGAGATTTTAGACCTGTTCTACTTGTTTTATTACTGCTTTTTTATTAGGGGCATTATGATTTTACTGTTGGTTTTATTATTGGATTATTGTGGGTCTTGTTGTTGATTGCATACCGATACAGCTTGCATACCGATACAGTTTCATTGCCTTTCCTGATTGTTTAACATCCATTGCTGGATGTCCCTTTGAGAGAAATATACTAAAAGGTATAAATAGTCTAAGATAAATCATCATTTGATTTTGAAACCCTCCTTAGAGTTTTAAAAAACAGGTCAATCCATGGCATGGGGCAAGAAACAGAAGCTCAAAGAGCCAGTGGATGATGCAAAACTAACTGTGCAGTTCTTTGGTCTCCAGCCAAACAAGTCTGAATGGTCCTTATGCTGCTGATCTTGGACTATTCTTCTCCACCCCACTACTGGTTTTGGACTACTCCCGTTCACTGCCACCACTCGGCTAATATTTATTAGTTGAATTAACTGGAATGTTTAGAGCAAGCTATAATATCCCTATCTCTTGGAGCGTAAAATGGAATTCACTGCCTAGTGAACTTGGCTCACTGCGGCATTTGCTAATTTAATTTCATCTTCGCAGCAATGTATCACTGGCTGCTGGGCAGAACGGTGTTGTGGAAATGTCTTTAAAAGCCTTTTGTTTCACTGCTGTGGAGTTTACTTAAAAGAGAGATCTTTTAACTGCCAGGTGCTTTGAAAGAATATACCAACATTCTGCAGTAAAGGAACACTGAATTCTGCAACCCTTTTTAATGGTAGAAGTTAAAATAAGATTTGTACTGTGCTTATTTTGCATAATTTACTCTGTTCCTTTTGGGATGGGGGGGGCATGAATGAAAATTTGAGACATCCTCCATTCTTTGACCAAGAAATTTAATGGTAGAGCAAAGGAGAGATGACTCCCTCCAACAGAAGGGACCCCCCTTTGTAAGAGCTGCTATTCTGGACACACCTCCTAACGTAAAGCAGGGTGGTTTAGAACTGCAACTCAGAGAAACCCAACAGGCAGACACCTCTGTGGCAGGAGCTTTGCACTCCCGGGAGAGAGCCTTTAATTATTTCACTTTACTAGTGGTTTTCTTGTGGCAGGCAGCTCGGGACTTAACATGAAGTCCAAGAGCCAAGCAGGGCACTGAAATGCTCATGGATGACTACAGGAAACATGGGAGGAGATGAAGAAGGTTGAGGCTCTCAGAATGCTGAATTCTTTACCCAGTTCTCAGGAAATCATGTGTGTCCCTGCCAGGCTCACACTAAAGGGCAGAAGTCTTATAAGCCTCGGATATACCAGCAGCACTGAACTTCTGTTAATTCTTTTAATCAGACACCAGGGATTTAAGGGATCTTCCCTTCAGATCAAGCGTCCAGCTGCGACTGTAAGGCCACCAGGGACTCTGGCAGTAGGGCCCAGGAGCCTTTATTCTCTGTCTCTGGCAAGAGAAGGGAGCGGCTGCCCTAATTTCAGCTGCACTGCTGTGCCACCACTGTAGAAGAGAAGACCAGCTGCCACCACAAACTCAGTCAGCACCAGCTGCTCAGCCCCACTTCCCTTGCCAAACTGCCTCCCCTCTGTGAGACACCGTGCCATGTCATGTGCCATTTAATATTATTATAAATTATTTTTGTTAGCTGCTTTGAGGCGGCCCGTTTCTGTGAAAAGAGAAAGCATCAGTTTTGTAGATGAATGGAGGGTACTGCGGCTCCCAGCCCAGAAAGGATCCAACGGTACAGAAGCCAGCTAGAGTTCCCATCTGGTTCCTGCTAACATGTGGTCTGACTGCAGCTGGAGACAGCTGGTCACTAAGTGGCTCAGAGAATGCCCCTTCCCCGGTTGACTAGCCTCCAGTGCTGACGGCACCTTGAAAGGTAAGTGGCTCCCTCTCCTATTTCACATCTGTATGAAATTGCTTTACCAAGCAGAGACGACCCCCAGTACAGCAAGCAAGCCAGAAAGAGCAGCCCACACAGCTGCCAGTCTCTTACCACACCAATCAGGTCCCCGCGGCCATATTCACCGGTCAAATGCTTTTTCCCATCATCCATCCTGATGACGGAGCGGAGTCGCCCATTCAGCACAATGTAGGTGCAATCTGAGTTGTCGCCTTGCCTACGATGGAGGAATCCACACACACTGTTAGGTCCCCATGCACATGCGCACACAAAATCACAACAGGGATTGGAGAAGACCCTGGATCATCTCTCCCTTGTTTTTGGAAGATCCAAAGAAGTGCAGACCTATGAAGGCCTCCAAGGCACCCTCCCCCTGCTCATAGTTCAGAGTGGTACAGTCTAAGCAAGGCTACATCACTCGATTTCTTTGTACATGTACATAGGCCACATACTCTCTTTTGTGCAGCGGGCCGCATGAGCATTTCAGTTTGGCTAACCTGAACCTCACAAAACAATAGCAACACTACATACTCCGCATACTCTTATCCTGCCCTTCCGCCAGAATGAGCTCAGAGCAATGTACATAGATCTCCCTTCCTCCATTTTATCCTCATGACAACCCTGTGCGGTAGGTTGGTCTGAGAAAAAGTGACCGGCTCAAGTCCAGGAGCTTCAAAGCTGAATGGGGATTTGAATCCAGGTCTCCCTGCTCCTTAACACTCTAACCGCTACACACTGCACTGGCTCTCAGGAACAGAACTGCTGATAGTGGTTTCCCACCCCCTCCCTCCAGATGGTGCTCAGGGTTTTTGCACACCCTACCTGTAAACAGCACGTCCGGCTTCCACTTCCATCCAGTCCAGAGCAAAGTCAATCTGCCTCACAAAGGACGACATCCTCTTCACAACAGTGTGAGCCACACCCAGGACGACTGTTGGCTGCTCCCGCATTATGCTGCAGAGCAAGGCCAAGCCGTTAAGAAGAGATTTTTTGCACATGCATGGAAGGGTAGCTGCACAACTTGGCTGGTGGACCGCCAAGTCAGGTCATTAGTCTCTATAGCTCAGGACGGGTTCCTCCAACGGGCAGCTGCTCTCCAGAGTCTCGTGAAAAGAAAGGGTCTTTCCTAACCAGTAACAGGAATCCTTTTACACAAGACTGACCTTCTGCATGCAAATAATGTAGTGTACCAGTGAGCCATGCCCCATCCTCCCCCTGAAGAAGCTGCCTCCCACCAAGAACATAAGAACATAAGAAAAGCCAATGTTGGATCAGGCCAATGGCCCATCCAGTCCAATACTCTGTCACACAGTGGCCAAAAATACCAGGTGCCATCAGGAGGTCCACCAGTGGGGCCAGGACACTAGATCTCCCACTGTTGGTCCCCCCCCCCCCAAGAATACAGAGCATCACTTGCCCCAGACTGAGAGTTCCTATCTATACCTTGTGACTAATAGCCACTGATGGACCTCTGCTCCATATGTTTATCTAATTCCCTCTTGAAGCTGCCCATGCTTGTAGCCGCCACCACCTCCTGTAGCAGTGAATTCCATGTGTTAATCACTCTTTGGGTGAAGAAGTACTTTCTTTTATCTGTTCTAACTCGACTGCTCAGCAATTTCATTGAGTGCCCATGAGTTCTTGTATTGCGAGAAAGGGAGAAAAGTACTTCTTTCTCTACCTGCTCTATCCCATGCATAATCTTGTAAACCTCAATCATGTCACCCCTCAGCCGTCATTTCTCCAAGCTAAAGAGCCCCAAACTCTTTAACATTTCTTCTAGGGAAAGTGTTCCAACCCTTTTATCATTCTAGTTGCCCTTTTCTGCACTTTTTTCAATGCTCTATCCTTTTTGAGGTGTGGTGACCAGAACTGTACACAGTACTCCAAATGAGGTCACACCATCGATTTATACAGGGGCATTATGATACTGGCTGATTTGTTTTCTTCCTAATAACCCCCAGCACAGCGTTGGCCTTTTTTATTGCAGTCGCACACTGTCACATTGTCATCTAGCTCACCAGCAGTGTCTATTCTGACCAGTGATGGCTCTCCGGGGTCCAGTACCGGTTACCTGAGATGCTTTAAATGGAGATGCTGGGGACAGGTTCCAGGACCTCCTGCATGTAATAACCTGCTCCAGTACCTCTTCTGCAGGTTTGTAAAAATTCTACATATCCTGCCCTGCCATACTTCAAGCTAGCACAGAAACACTTAAAAGAACCTCATATACACCTCAGGATATGGGAAGATTCATATGACCACCCATATCCTCAAGATCCCCTCAGGCAGGCCTGTCCCAGGAAAACAGCGACTGGGCTGCAAGGAAAAGGAGAGTAGACAGGACCCTCCAACTTGCAACGAAATCCACAAGGTTTACTAGCCAACAACAACAAAATCTTATTAGTCTGCCAGATGGTCCCCATCTCTACTAAATGAATTTGTGGTCCATGGATAGCCTACGAGAAAGGGGAAAAATGACCAAGCTCTCTAGCTGGCAAAAAGTGTCCTTGCTGGTCATTTGGGAGAAGTGGGAGGGAGAGAATCTTACAGTCACTGACCAGATGAGCCGCGATTGACAAGCCTTCTGTAAACCCTGGGGCCTAAAGTTATAGTAGAAGAGATTTAGGAACTAGGCAGTGCAATGCAAAATAAATGGCACCTCGGGTGAATTAGTGCTGTTCGGGAAATAAGCATCATTCAACAGTCAACAACAGCTTATGAACACCTGCAGCTGTATCTGCATATTTTCATCTATTTGTAGCTCCTAATTACAATTTTTTTAAAAAATTCCAGAGAGTTTGTCTTTTTCTCAGATGCACACCATATTTAACAACCAGACAGCATTCCAGAAGGCATGGTCTTGCCAAAACCCAGCATTCAGGCCTGGTTCACAAACACAAACAGTAAGAGATGGTAGAATGGGCTTCAGAGTGCAGGTGGTGGCTTCCAACTTAGGATGTTCTTTCAAAAAACCTCCCCCCCCACAAAACAGCGAACCCTTCTCTCTGCTTGCTGTGCTGGCTTTCTATCTGTAGGGTACTTTTAGAACGGGGGAGTGTTGCAAAATGTGATTTCCCCGCCTGCAGTCTGGAATTGTGCACGTCCATTTTAACACCCCGAGTCTCTGCCGTCTCATTCCTCTGCGAGTATTAATGGGGATTGTAGCGTTCAAAAGGGGCTTTGCTGCATATCGAGCAAGGGACGTGGGGTTCTTGTTATCAGAACTTCTTTAGCAAGCAGATACATGAGCTACAGAAAGAGCTGGTCGTGCAAAACCAGTCCAAACTGGGGTTTCCAATTCATTCTCCTGTCAACCAGGATAGGATTCTTACAAAGAAAACTAACTTAATTTAAAGGACCCCATCTAAGAGATAAGCAAAGGATATTTTCAAGAACAACTGATTAGACAATTTTTGTTTGGGGGGGAAATGGTAAACAGGAATGCTAAGATTTACTCTCCTGAAGGTTGCTTTGTAATGCTACCTATTGTATTTCTTTGATTCCTTACATGTGCTTCCATTTCCATTGCCCTACAGATTCAAGAAAACTGAAAAAGTAAAAGATGTATACAGCCCAGAAGGTTGCAAAGACAACAAGATAACAGCCGGCCATTTAAGGACACATAAGCCCCTAAAATTAATCAGCATAAAGCCACTGAACTCTGTGCTGGACTGCAGCTAGCAACTGTAGAACTCAGGGTTACGTTGCACATTACTGAAGCTTTATGTGGAAAGAGATTCTGTACAGAATTAACATTTCACATGTGCATGAGCCTACCCACCTATATACCACATGCACACCCACTCACCTTTACCCACACATTGAAATGTTTTACTCCACTTTTTAGCCCCCCAAAGGGGCTCAAAACACCTTCCAAGAGAATTCAGAAAAGCCCAGTCCAGCACCATGAAACAGTGCAGACCAGAACATCTATCATTCTAAGCTGCCCATGAAGCCGCTCCAGATCAGTTCAGCCTTAAAGTTTCCTGGAGGTCAGAAGGGAAGGTGTCCTCTTGACCTTTTCAGGAAGACCAACCCACAGAACTGGAACCACTGCATTGAAGCCAAAGACAGTGTAGTGGCAGGTGCAATACATCTGAAGGAGGAATTGCTGGGAAGACCAGAACTGCCACTTGGGGTCATTCACAGAGACGTGTGTACCATCACTGCACCGGAAGGCCTACCACCTCCATCCCTATCAACTTGACCAACTACCAATGTCAACTTCAAAGGCCCTTCCCAGAAGCCTCTAATTTCTGTGATTAGAACGATGAGCCTTTATTGGGGCTGCACCATTAATGGGACTCCCTTCTGAGACTGATCTGTCTCGGAAGCTTCGGCGAGTAGATAAAATGGGAACCACTCCTTAGAGAGGGTGGACACGCCAACCTCCCTTGTGGGAGGGCATTAGCTGATGGTTGGACGTCCTGGTCAAGGCTTGTAAAGGCGAAACAGCTTCCCAGCTACGAAAAGAATGCCTGCAATGGATGTTCCAGCCAGGCTGTGGCAGTGTGGCGATTGACATACGGGTCCTGAATCCTGGCCAGCAAGCAGCCGTGCGGGAAAATGACGGAGCCAGCCAGAAGACGTCTACACCGGGCAGTGATGGCGCGTGCAATTAAAATGAATATATGTTGTCTTCCCTATCCCCTACAAACATTGTTAGTCCCTTGTCTATATGGAGTAACTGTACATCGCTTTGAGCCCACTGGGGAAAGCAATTAATAAATGGATATTATTATTATTATTACCTTCTCTGCTGTCTTTTAGACGTCGGGCGAAGTCTACTCTGCATCTTGAGATGCAAGATGGTAAGCTTTTTAACAGATACCATCCAAACTAAATTCCATGCCACACAGCCTTCCCTTGCAGGAATTCTGTAAGATGTGAAGCAGCTCACAGGAATACCAAGTCTATCCCCTACTCCCAGTTCCGCAGAGCAGCCTGGATTGTTGCTCCATCTCCAAAGCTAAGCAAGCCTGGGCCAGGCCAATGTCAGGATGGGACACCACATAGGCATGCACAACATCCTCCTCCACTGAGCTCTGGCTTGCTCTGCAGTTGGCATCAGGAAGCAGAAGATCTGGCTGTGCAGCACTTGAACCTCCCCCCTGGAATTTAAACTTTGAGCCAATGATGTGGCCCAGGAAGACTTGGGGCATGCAAACAGAGAAAAAAGGCAGGCAGAACAGAACTGAAGGTATTTTGAAGGAAAGCAGAAAGCCAAGGCAACAAGAAAAGAGAAAAAAGCAGGCAGGTGCATGACAATGTTCCCTCTTAGCTGTGGAGTCTTGTGAGCAAAAATTCTACTTGGTGAGCTACTGGCATTAAAGTTGTGAGCGAGCAATTCGGCTACTGCATAAATCAGTTTGCTCTGGAGCCATCCTTCCTGAGCGGAGACTAAAATGTGTGAGCCGGAGGCTAAAAAACTGTGAGCTAGCTCACACTAACTCAGCTTAGAGGGAACACTGGTGCATGAATGAGAAGAAGGGAAGGCACAGCCAAGCCATCCCAAGCATGAGTTGTTAGGCTACTGGCTCAGGGAGAGTGCTCCAGAAAGGCCAGCAAGGTGTCGAATGGTTCCTTGCAGGGCAAGTCTGGGAAAGGCACCGTCCAAGCAGGAGCTGCTAGCATTTGGACACAAAAAGGTAGATGGGGGAGAGCTCACAAGCAGGAACCAAAAGAAATCAAGAGGACCAACTGTCCTGAAAAGCATATCCAAATTTCCCCCTCCACCCAAATCAATTATATAAATAACCATACTACAAAGCTTGGGAGTCCCCCCCCCAATTAATGGGCTTTTTTTGTATACGTTATTTGTAGCCAGACATTTTCTACGCCTTCGACAAGTCACGCACCACAAAGCCTTTGCACCATCTTCCCCATGTCCCAGTGATGGCTTAATTGGACGCTGGATTCAAAAGGCAACTCCGCCCCCTTCCCCACCCCAGCCCAGAGCAGAGGCACCCTGCACTTAGCACTTCACAGCTGTGAGTTCGGGGGAACCATGTAATTAGCTGGCATCTGCCCTGTACTTATATCCCCACAAGAGGGATGCCAGTACCAGGGAGGGATATGACACTGCAAAGTTGATGCTGTTGTTGGCCCACAGCTCGGCTGAAGACGATCCCCAGCCTTCCTCAACCGTTCTTCTTCTTCCCCAACAACGAGTCTTTACAACAGCAGTTCAGCAGGGTGGGAAAGACAGAAAAGGAATAATGCTTTCCACAGCAGATGGGAAGGTAGAATATGTGGAAACTAGCTGCAACCGGAACCGAGTGTATTCTGAGATCAGTCTACTCCTATACAGAAACAGGCTTAAGTACAGAACTCAGCAACTCAAGAATCTCATGTTTTAAAAAATCAAGTATCTAGTCCTTAGGGTTGATAAGATTCATTTGGGAAGTGTGAAGGTCAATTGCATACCCTCCCCTATGGGTTGCAGAAGAATTACACAAAATGAACCTTTGAGCTTCCCATGAGGATTTCTTTTCATCAATGGATTGGAGGGTATCCCTGTGAGGGTTACTCCTCCCCGTCCACTCAGGAGGTAGGGCTTTACTGAAGGATTCTGTAGAGTTCTTCCCTTTCTAGTGGAAGTTCTCAGTTTTCAGTAAGATCCTGATCACAGCCTAGATGAGTAAGGACACCCTCCAATCCACCAATAAAAAGAAACCCACACAGAAAGCCCATGCTTCATTTTCCACAAGTGGAGGAATGTTGAAAAATTGTACCACCCTGGATGGGAAACACCTGAGGAGGCTGCTGGGGAAGAATCAGTGGCGGAACTGCTGTCGCATTCGTAATGCCTTATAAATGTGGAAAAGGTAGGTCAGGGAGACCCTTCCCTAGCCTTTCAGAGTATTTGAATTAAATTGTTGCTGGAGACCCTTGTGGAAGAATATTTCTGTTGCTGATGAGAAGTCTGTGAGTCTGCACTGGCACCATCTGGTAAACACCTTCTTTGTCACTCCACATAAGAACATAAGAACGTAAGAACATAAGAGACGCCAATGTCGGATCAGGCCAAAGGCCCATCCAGTCCAACACTCTGTATCACACAGTGGCCAGAAATACCAGTGCCATCAGGAGGTCCACCAGTGGGCCCTGTTTGTCAAAGTTCTCCTGGAAGCCAGTAGAGATTCGAATGATTTTGAGTATGCAAAGCTTTCTAATGCCCTCGTTTCAGCTTCTGGCTACAGTCATTCAGGGGTGGGGTGCTGTAGCAAATTTTAAGTGCAGAAGTCACATGCTGTGGGATGGATCCATGAAGGGTGAATTGCCATGACCACAAGCTCCAAGACCTCCTTCCCTAACAGAGGGCTATGAAAATCAAGTCTCCCCCTCTCCTGACTAGCCCTGTTGAAGACCAGTACTGTACAAGGGAACTAGAGGGCAGGCCTAAAGGAGGCCATTGGGCCAGGGACAACTGATGGCATGGCCGCTCCTTCTGCCTTGAACTTTGACAAATACCTTGGAAGCTTGTGATTAGTGACAGAAGTGAAAAGATCCAGAACTGGTTATCTCAGGTGCCTCGAGATTGCTCAGAAGTCCTGGTTCTACATAGTGATTTTTAGAGGCACTACAGTATATTTTTATAGGCTGTAGGGGGTGTAGGCCCCATTCATTTTGGATGGCCTCCTCCAAGGACTCCAGGAATCACATGTGAGGCAGCTCTACTTTGGGGTATGACATGAGAAACCCCTCAAAGTTTGGCAGAGGGCTCTGGAGGCTGTTCAGTTTGCTTGCTAGCTACATGCAAAATTGATGAGGCTTCAGCTACGTGACCGTCCTCTGCAAAGAAGAGTTTGGAGGAAGAGGGGACTGAGTGCTGATGTTCATCCCCTGGCAATTCCCCCTCTTCTTTTTCAGATACTCAACAGCAACAGAGAGATGCTTTTTGTCTGAAAAGAACAAACCAGAACCTGCTCTTGGGTCCGGGGTGGGTGGGGGATGTTGATTCTGATAAAACACGCAGGGAACTCGAGTCCTGAGGACAGGAGTCTGCTCATAGGCTCCTTTCTCCTAGCCATGTCATGAGGATCTGGAGAGAGCTGCCTGGGGTTTTGAGAAGAGTTGTCTGGCCCTTGTACCTGCCCTCTTCCTACTCCTAACTGGGAAGGAACAAGAGGAGGGTGTGCACTTTTGCTTGTATTCATTATGCTGTCTTTGGCACACACACACACCCCGAATCTCTTTTACTATCGCCTGCTTGATCCAAGCACAGATATCAGGGTGGCCCCATCTAAGATGGCAGGCGGGAGCCTGGGCTCTGAAGGCGGTGTCGTAGCGAGGTCTCTTCCCCCCTCTGAGGGGCTGGCCTGGGTCTTGGGGGTCCGAGCCAATGGGGGAGGGGCTATCATTGCAACCACGTGCAGCTTGACAAAGCCCTGGCAGGGGGACCCAGACTTGCAGTGGAAGAGCAGCCATCTGTTTCGAAGAGAGTGGCGAGCAGAGGAGTCCTGCTGGAGCACACCTTTGCTGACCATTTGTTGCGGGCTCTGGCTAGGTCACTGGAGAACAATACTGGCAAGATACCGCCACAGTTCTCCCACCTCTGCTCCAGACAGCAGGTCTCCCCGCACCCTAGAGAGTTGCCACCATCTGGCTTCGGCTGCAGCTGAGGCAAGCAAAAGAGGTGGGGTAGGCAGCAGACCTCTCAAAAGGTTTTTCTTTGGCCTGTTGTCAATTTTATTTCCTCCCAGAGCAGAGGTGCCAAACCCATTTGCTACGAGGGCCGGATGCGACATAAATGTGACTCTGTCGGGCTGGGCCATATGTGCCATAAAATGTAACGCCAGGTACCAGAGATATAAACTTTATAAAGGACTGCAGCTGGTAAGCTCTAAGTTGGTGTGTCCTCTCTGCAAGGCCCCATGGGCTAGTGGAGGTGTAGAGGAAAACCCACATGGGTGGACCGGAGAGCTCCTCTGCTGCCCCTTCCCCAGCCCCGCTCCCACTGCCAATGCTGTGAGCCTGGGCCCCAGGGTAAAAATGCGAAGTGGCTGGGCACTGCAAGCTCCCCCCCTGCCCCTGAGCCACTATTGGAAAAGGACTGGGAAGAGAAGTTGAACTAACCCCAGGTCCAAGGCCATGTGTGTGGCAGGACCCAGACTAAGTACAGCCCAATAAGCTGGAGACACCCATGAGGCAGTGGCTGCCTCTGGCCAAGGCTACTACATGGTGGGGTAACGCTGGGGGTTCAAGCTAGAGATCATTGCCAAGGTGTGCCACCCCCATGCGGCGGCCCTGCCCCATGCTGAAGACCACCAAATTACCTGATAGGGGAGCTGGCAACACATACACAAGATTGTGTGTGTGGAAGAGGCCCCAGGCCACCCAGTGACCAGTATGACTGAAGATCACTGGCAGCTGCCTACAGCTGAAGGCCACCAAGTGGTGGAGGATAAGGCCTCCGATGTGCGGAAGGAACTGCCAAAAATCTGGGCCCATGGGCCACAACACAGCTGCTACGGGGGGGGGGGGGAGGAAGGGGGGGAGGGCTCGGTTTGAGAGCGCGGGTGGAGAGAGAGAGAGAGAGAGAGAGAGAGAGAGAGAGAGAGAGAGAGAGAGAGAGAGAGAGATTATGCTGTTGAACAGAAGAGTAGAGGAGTGGCTCCCAAGTGCTGCTTCTGCAGATCAGGGTGGGCATAGCTGGAGGGTTCTGCCTCCCACTGGAAAGGGAAGGACCCTGTAAAGTCTTCAGCCCAGAACAGATGTGAGAGGAGCTACCCTCACAGGGATAACCTCCTCCAGTGACAAAAATACAAATTTGCTTCATTTGCATAACAGGTACAAGGCAGCAGAGCCCAGTGTTCCCTGGCACGGAATGCCTAAGATCTCAATGCAAGATTCTGGCTCTCTTTAGTAAAACTTGTACACAAGCCCTGCCCTTGACACCTGGGGGACAACCCAACCAATCCAGACCCACCTTTGTGAACAGCACACTGAAAATGCCCACTGTGTTTCAAAGGTCCAAGTGGACTGGCCTCTACCTAATTTGGAGTGTCCTTCCCTGAAAGCAAAAAGCCATGGACTGGACCTGGGGCCCACCACAATACAAAACAGATGCTCTACAACTCAGCCACCACCTGCTGCCCCAGTAGCCCAAGCTTCAGAGGAATCCAGGGAGCCCAGAGACTCACGGCAAGCCTCCAACATGCATGGAGCCGGACGAGACGAGTGACTCACGCAGGAATCCCTAGTGCTCCCTACACAATATACACACAGAGGAAAAAGGAGGCTCACTCGTAGAAGTGGGACTTCGAGATGGCCAGGAAAGTGCAGTCCCGATTGGCCTTGAGGGTGAAGATGAGTGGCTCCCCCGTCAGGACAGCCAGCTGCCCCACCAGCTCCCCTGGGTGGGTAATGAACAGGCAGGTCTCCTCCTCCGAGTCAATCTTGCGCTGGTACACGTGGAGCATCCCAGAGATCACGAACCGGATGTTGACGTCCTGCGAAGGCAGAGAGAGAGATACCTAAGGGACCGCCTCTTCCCGTATGTTCCCTCAAGAGCACTGCGACTGGGGAATTTCCATCACCTTGAAGTGTCAGGCCCCCGAGTTGTAAAGTTGTCCCATACCAGAGCCAGAGCGTTTTCGGTGGCGGCTCCTACCTGGTGGAATGAGCTCCCGGAGGAGATCCGGGCCCTGCGGGACCTCGTACAGTTCCGCAGGGCTTGCAAAACGGAGCTCTTCCGCCAGGCTTTCGAGTAGGAGCCGCCACTATTCCATTACCAAGATTTCATCTTTCATCTGCCACATTGTCTGGGGGGGGGGGCGGTAGATGCTGCCCGATTGAGCTGGGAAACAGTACTCCTGGCGCTCATACTTTTAAGAAAACCTGCCGCCAATGTGATCTGTTGCGCATCTTGGTTATTTTATGTAAATTATTGTAGCACCATTTTAGTATGTATGTAACATTGTTTTACTTTTTTAAATCTTTAAACCCTATTTGTTAGCCGCCCTGAGACACTATGTATAGGGCGGGATACAAGTCCCAAAAATAAATAAATAAATAAATCAGATCTGTTCCATGGCCATGACTGCTGCCGCCACTCAGATCTCCACTTGCAAAGCCCAAGCTGTGTTTAAGATCATGTGTTGAGGGACTTAAGAGAAACAAATTAGATGTGAAATTAAAACTCAGCACACAGATTTTTTCAGGGAAATGGAGGGTGGTGTTTGGTTTTTTTTGCCAATTATGCCCAAATAGATAACCTTGAAAAAGACAGAAGAAAAAAACTGGAGGAGAAAAGCACAAGCAGACAAGGCTGTGGATGCAAGTGCAGCACATTGTTAGAGAGAGGAGGAGGAGGAGATTGGATTTATACCCCACCCTTCACTTACAATATCCTTTCCCTTTCCCCTCCCCTTAACAAACACCCTGTGAGGTAGGTGTGGCTGAGAGAGCTCTCCCAAGAACTGCCCTTGAGAGAACAGCTCTGAAAGAACTTGTGACTGACTCAAGGTCACACCATCAGCTGCATGTGGAGGTTCTCCCAGATTAGAGTCTGCGCTCCTAACTACTATACCAAACTGGTGTTTGAGCACCACATCGAGGCAAAGAAAGGGTCCTTATAGGCCGTCAGCATCGTCTTATTTGCACTGAGCCATTTCACCAAGGAAGTCACAATGCATGCAAGTGACAGGACTGGAGGGAGGCATACAAATGGGTCAGTGAGAGAGACTGAAGGAGGAAGAACAGACACAGAGAAGGTATCACAAAGACGGTAATAAAATCTGTTTGGGACTCCACCAGGTGATACACATTTAGTGGCAACAGCATGCCAGATGATTACCAGCCTGCAGCAACCCAGCAGCCGCCTGTGTTTCATGCAGGCTGAAGAAAACATTCTGGTCACACTGCAATCTTTTGGATATTGGAACTGAGAAGGTAGCGGAATGGGGGGGAAAGCACCCTGCCTGCCCTTATCATCGCCACACTCTGTTAGTTTATGAAGAAGCATTGTCTACTGCCTGCCCTTGGCTTCCTGCACATTCTCACAGACAGCTTTCTTTTTGTTGGGTAACTGAAAACAACAACCTGGCAAAGCACAGCAAATCATTTCCAGCACAATTGCTCTGGAGTGCAACGCCTCCCAGAGGGAGCATTTCTTCCAGCTGTACACATTGAGTATGGGGAGATTAGGCTTGCAACAGATGCCCAACTATTTTTCGCAGTGCCCCCTTGAGGATCTGAAGATGGCACACTTCATTACAAGGACTATTGCCTTTGAACTGCCATTCTATGGGTCCTGCCACGGTTGTACCAAGTGACAAAGAGAGTCGGGTGCTCTGCCTGAATCCATTTAGAAACCAAGACGACCACCCTCCAGCCAAGCAGGCTCCTCTCTCAGCCCATTTAGCCTACAGGTGTCCCTTGGGAGAGACGCCCGTGTCTGCCTTATCTCCCGGATCGTACCATTTCTAATGGCCCTGACCTGGATAGCCCATGCTAACCTGATCTTGTCAGATCTTGGAAGCTAAGCAGGATTAAAAAGGTAAAGGTTCCCTTGCTCGAAAGCCAGTCGAATCCGACTCTAGGGTTGCGGTGCTCATCTCCGTTTCAAAGCCGAAGAGCCAGCGCTGTCCAAAGACGTTTCCGTGGTCATGTGGCCGGTATGACTAAACACCAAGGCACACGGAATACTGTTACCTTCCCACCGAAGCGGTACCTATTTATCTACTTGCAATTTCTTGCTTTCGAACTGCTAGGTTGGCAGGAGCTGGAACCAGAGACGGGAGCTCGCTCCGTCATGTGGCACTCTGGGTCTCGAACTGCTGAACTACTGACCTTCCACAGCCTGCAGTTCAGCGTCTTAACCACTTGAGCCACCGCAGCTCCTTAAGCAGGATTAGCCTGGCTAATATTTGGATGAGAGGCCTCCAAGGAATACATGGGTCGTGCTGCAGAGGCAAGCAACGGCAAACCACCTCTGGATGTCTCTTGCCTTGAAAACCCCCCATGGGGTCACCGCAAGACAGCTGTGACTTGACGGCACTTTCCACCACCACCATTTCTAACTGGAGGCAGCACAGTCCAAGAGCCCCACGACGTCATTCTACTGTGTGGCTACAGCAGCAGCTCTGACAGAGATGCTGGGCGACTTGGGTTTCTATCCTGCTCTTGCAAGGATAAGCCCAGCACCCAAGCCACCCAGGTCTTTTCTCCACATAAATTTCAGCTGTTGCTGCTTAAGGATAAGAGCCAACAAGATTCTTAGTATTGAAAGACATGCAAGGCAGGCATGGACAGAAGGGTACAGCACGGGGAAGTTCAACACTGTGCACTGACCGTACGTTTGCCCACCGCAGCTCATCTGAGAGCCAGTTTGGTATAGTGCTTAAGGAGCGTGGAGTCTAATCTGGGAGAACCAGGTTGGATCCCCCACGCCTCCACATGCAGCTGCTGGTGTGACCTTGGGTCAGTCAAAAGTTCTCTCAGAGCTGTTCTCTCACAAGAGCAGTCCTCGTAAGAGCTCTCTCAGCTTGTAAGCCGCTGAGAGCCGCTCAGCTTGTAAGCCACTCTAAGACTCCTTCAGGTTGGAAATGAAAAAAAAAATGTTGGGACATATATGCATATGTGGTGGAGATGTGAAAAGGTACAAAGATACTCGGAAAAAGTTTATCGAATGATAAAGGAAATAATGGGAACGCAAATAGCATTTAGGCCAGAGATCGCTTTACTAAATATGATCCCAGATATTTACAATAGCACAGATAAATATGTAATTATATACTACTTTACTGCAGCAAGAATATTGCTAGCTAAAGCATGGAAAGAAGAGAAAGTGCCTTCAGAAACAGATCTAATTGAAAAAATGTTAGCAGTAGCTGAAATGGACAGATTAACTTTAAGATTACAAGGTAAAAATAAGGAGATATTTGAAAACCATAGGAAAAGTTTCTAAGTATGGATTGAGACTGTAATTATGAAAGACTCACAAGGATAAAAAATGTAACATGAAGATGTAGTGTATATAATGGAAAATTATAAATAAATTTTTTTTAAAAAAAAAAGTAGTGAAGGGCAGGGTATAAATCCAATCTCCTCTTCTTCTGTAAGTCTTCAAGAAGAGTCCAGCAGGGCTCCTCCTACTTTGGCACTGACTCACTTACAGAGGAGGGATCCCTCTGCAGCAATCAATCATGACAGAACAATAAAACTTCCATATTTAGAGGCAGTATACCTCGGAGAACTACATAGCAGGGTTAACAAGAGAGACAGCTATCTCCCAACATGCTTTGCTGGCAGGCTTCCTGGATGTCAGTAGGATTCTTGTTATTTTCTTATAACCTTACATAACTTCTAAAAGCAGCTAAAAGGCACTCAAGGTCAGAGAAGAGCAAATCATTCTGCATTCTCTCGCCTTACATAGAAGATGAAGCACTTACCTGGTCACCCTGCCTTGACACCACTGTCCCAGCAGTAACCTGATGCAGCATCACTCTTCCATTAAGGAGAGAAGGGTCCTGAGAAAGAAAGCAAAACACGTTAGGCAAAAGGCAGCTAATCAATGCCATGTGTCAACATCACAGCATTCATAGATCCTGGATTAATGATCCATGTGCCACATTCATCTCATTTATATTTAGAAGTGACAAAGTTCTCTCGACTAACATACAACTTTTCAGGCACGACCCAAGCTGTTTAAGTTTTAGAACTGGGCTTTTAACAGACTTCGCATTAGAAAGTTCCTGAAATATCAAGGAAAGTGGACTGCTCTGTAAAATTAGAGTCTAGTAGCACCTTTGGGACCAGCAACATTTCCCAGGGTATAAGCTCTCATGAGTCAAAGCTCACTTCGTCGGAAGCGTCTGACTAAGCGAGCTTTGACTCATGAAAGCTTATACTCTGGAAAATGTTGTTGGTCTCAAAGATGCTACTAGACTCATATTTTGTTCTGCTACTACAGACTAATACGGCTACCCACCTGAAACTGAATGGTATATGTTCTGCTTTGGAGACCTTGCTGGGGGGAGGGGGGGGGAGACACAGATTCTGTAGGGCACTGAACCCTCACCCAATGTCCAGCCTGGTAAGTCAGACTGTACTGCTGTCCACATATCTATGTATTCATCCATGTATTTTTAACACCATCTTTACTCCAAGGAATTTAGGGCAGTTACATGGTCCTCCCTCCATTTTATCCACACAGCTGAGTGTGCACATCTTGCCCAACATCAGCCAGTGAGCTTCATGTCTGAGTAGGGATTTGAGCCCGAGTCTCCTCAGTCCTAACCAAGGCACTATAGCCTCTATGATGGACCAGATAACAACAAAAAAAAAATCTTGTGCAATAAGCAGATCTATGTAGGAGCTGCTTAATATAAACAATGCATTCAAGGTTCCAGAATTCCACCGTTTCTTTTTTTATCTTTACACACACATAGAGCAGACTAAGATTAGGGAAAGCACTGCTGGAGGACAGGCGTCCACGTTTTCCTTCTTGTGGGAAACGATGGCACAGCACCACCTAGGGGCAAGGCTGTGAATTACAGCTTCCCCTGCTGGGCTTCTGTTGTTCAGTTGCACAGTGGAGTCCGACTCTTCGCGACCCCATGGACTACATGGCTACAGCTATCCATTCACACACAAAAATCACAAAATCAAAAATCATGAAATAGCCCTCTAAGGCCCACTTGAAGGGGAAACCTGCAACCTTCACTGAAAGTATCACGGCTATGGAGGCATTTATTTTATTCTTGCTTTTAGTTTCATTATATCATGCTGAAACTGACTCCTGACAAGGTGGAGGTAATGTTGGGTGGGAAGGCTGAGGTCCTGAATGACATGGGGCTCCCCGCTTTTAATGGGGTCCAGCTGACTCTTGCTGAGAGCCTAGGGATGACACTTGCTCCAGCTTTATTGCGCAAGAAGCAAGATGATGCAGCTGCAAAAAAAAAAAAGGCATTCAACTAACTCAACTTAGCTCAGAAGATGGCCACTATTTCAACTCTCCTGATCTGGCCATGTGGATCTATGATATGGTGATCTTGAGGCTGAACTACTGTAATGCACTGTAATGGATCTGCCCTTAAAGACAACTCTTGGAAACTAAAGTTGGTACAGAATGCCTGGGCACAACAACTATCAGGCAACAGTTACCAATCAGTTACTGGGTTCAAGGAGCTAGCTATCACCTACAAAGCCCTTGAAGGCATCAGACCCACATACCAGCAGGACCACATTCCCTTACCATATCCCACTGTGACAGCTCTGCTCATCTGAACAAAACCTTCTGAAGGTTCCATCCTGCACACTTACTCTGCAGTGGCTATTTTTGTGGAGCAGTCTACCAGAGGCTATTAGGAAGGTATCCCTTGTTTCTATAATCTTGCAAAATGTGCAAAACAGAGCTGATCAGTGGGAATTTTTGCAGAAGGAACAAAGCTGAGGTGTAAGGGTTCAGTCCAGGACATGACTTTCATTATGGATAACGTCTTCCCTACACAGATTTTCCACACCATTTAATGTGTCATGTTTCAAAGCTCATGCTTCATTTCAGCTGTTTTCAGATTTCTGTAGTCCAAACCCTATTGTACTGTTCATCGAATATGTCATCCTGTTCATAGTCCCCCAGACAATGTGTTGGAGAGTCCACATTGTCACTCATAAGCAGCAGGGCTTCTTAATTAAACTGGCATCCTCCAGTAATGGTTACGGAGTACATGGACTCACACAGAGCCATAGAAATGCAAACAAGCCACAAAGGGAGCTGGAACGCTGAAGTGTGGTAAATGTCTCTTGCCACCTGGAAACAGCTGATTTATTTTCTTTACAAGTGAAACCACAGGCAAGAACTTGGACCGAATGTTCCACTGGCAGGGCCCAAAAAAACAGAGACAGCAGCCAGGGACCCCAACCATCCCGCCTGGGCCCAGCTGCAGCTCCCAACTGCCACAGAGGAAACCATCAGAGGAAAGAGCAGGAAGCTGCCCTGCACTCCCTCCATCATGCCTGGGTCCACCTCCAGCTGAGAACTCCCCTCCCACAAAAGGAACATTTTTGCATGGAATGTTGTCATTTCTATCAGATTTCGATGCCAACAAGCTGCTTTGAGAACCAATTTCTGGCAGAAATGTGGGATGAAAATAATCAAGAAAATCACTCTCCTTGTCAGAGGGCTGGTAAAGTTTGCATTTGGGCAGGAAAAGGGGACCATGTTTGGCATGCCGTACACTAAAGAATACGGAGAGTGCCCAAAGCCAGACGTTACCCATGCCCAGAGCTGGCATCCTGTATGCTGCAGCCCCCCCCCCCCTTTTAAGGCCACAAGCCCATGGTGGCCCTTCCCAACCACTCACATCCAGCTTCATCAGAGTTAGGAGATCCTTCTTGGCAGCCTCAAAGATGCTCTCCACTTGTTTGCTGGCGCCAGGCTCCTGAGAGACGAGGTTGCCTTGGGAATAATGGAAGACAGCCGAGGGCATTTCCGTCACGGTCACCGTCTTCTTTAAGATGGACTTTCAGAATCAGAAACGTCAATGGTTACTTATTCCATGCTGCACAGAGCACGTGTGTGACAACATACATTATCTGTTCTACACTCTTGTTTGTCCAAAAGGAAATGGGATTTCAGATGCTGGGTGATGAGATCCAGGAACACTGCAGGTCCTGGACTGTGTGAACACCTAGATCGAGGGTCAGCAACTGATTTTGACTGAAAAGGTGGCAGGAGGCAGAGGGCCTTTTCCTTTTCCCAGTTAGCAGCTGGCAACCGTTGGGAGTGTGCCCCAGAGGTCTCTGGGGTGTGGGGGAAGAAAAGTGACTCAGTGCTTCAGCACCCGCTTGGCATGCAGAAGGGCCCAGGTACAGTCTCTGGCACTTCCAGTCAGAGGATCTGGCGGACCAAGAAAGACTTTTGCTGCCAGTTGGGAACCAGACCTCTCTGCCCGGGACCCTGGAGAGCAAACAATACTGAGTTACATCAACCAATGACTTAATGCAGCTTCATAGGCTCTCCGACTCTCACATGCTACCATCATTCTGGCCTGAGCAACTGTGTGGTGAACTCTGGAACACAAGCCTTTGCAGGCCTCACTTCTGCCTCTTCCACAGACCATACGGGAAGAAGAAAGGGGTGAGCGGTAGCAGGCACCACTGAAGAGGCCAAATCCAACCACTCAACTTGCTCTATATGCTTTCGGAATCAAGGCAGCGTCTAAATTAATGTTCCAAACAGAAAATTGCTTCTAACAACTGAAAACCTCATTAAAAGAGGAAAATAAAAGCTGGTCCGGCCGAACAGGATATGCTGCACAACGATAACAGAAACGGATGCAATGGAATTAAACCTTCTGTTCCAGCTGTATATTTGGTGCACAATTAGACCAAGAGGTGGCTATTTTTCATTAATGCTTGTTAATATATAAGGCCTTCTTTTGGCTTGCTTTTAACTGCTGCAATTCAAGGCAGCAAGCATGCAGTATCTTAATAGCTGCTTTATTGAACTGCTGTCTACTGCAGTTATCCACCCAGCCGGCTTCGGTGAAATTAAACATTTCAATAAATGCAGAGGATGACATGCAACTGCAGTGGAAATTCTACAGCTCAGCAAGAGAAAACATCACTGGTGGTGGCCACTCTAGTGTACTTACCCTTTGAGGGGAAGCTTTCTTAACCCTATTTTGACCACCTCATAACCAAGGTTCTCAAAGAAGTTCACAACAATAAGACACAGATATAGGATGAAAACCAGGACAGCTAATCAAGCCAACAGCCCAAGCACAAGTTGCCTCTCCTGATCTCTCCCTACAAGACACCCCCGCTCCTCAGACCAAGGCTTGCTTTTGGTGCCCACCTGTGAACGGGCATGGACTGCTTCTGCCCATCTGTTTGCCCCCTGAAGTGGACTCCCCGACACCACTGTGGAACAGCTTGTCTGAGCAGATCAGGAAGGCACCTACTCCGTGAAAATTCAGGAAGTTAAAGCAAGGCAGAATTGTTTAGGTGTATTTTTAATTGACGGTTTTAAAATGAAGGTTAAGTGTTTTTGTGTGGATGAAGCTGATGCTTTGTGGGTACTAACAATAGTTTGGGGAAATCCCACTCCTGTTTTTTAATGATATAATGCATGTTTAATTTGGCCTGTAAGCCAGCTTGAATCAGCATGTAGAGAAAAACTGGGCAGGGCAAAAGTGTTTTAAATAAAACCAATACATAGTAATTAGCAGCAGCAGAAGAGCAAGCAATAACCAACCCCCATCCTTAATTAGCTTGTTCATTCTGTCCTCTTCTGCTTGGGTGTGTGTGTGTGTGCTTTCCCTCATCATTATATTTTGCATTCTTTTTCTGGTTTGCTTTATTTTTCTGTTTTTAAGTGTTAGTTTTACCTAATCTTATTTTATGCAGATGTTTACTGTTTTACCTTTTATGGAGGCTGCTTCAAGGACAACATGCTGGGATCATGGAGCATTAAAATATTTTTTAGAAAGCAGTTCACACAGTGAGAACTGATCAGGCTTGCTAAAACAGAAGTTGTCAAGTGCCTAAGAAAACAGAGGGGGGATGTCTTCAAAGAGTAACTGCCCAGAAATTACACATCACTTGGTAGATTTCTCAGCTCTGATTTCTCACCTATGCACTAACACTTACTCAGGACCATGGTTCAGTTCACCCAACCAAATAAAGGCACCAGGTCCCAGGGAAATCTACCTTGCATGTGGCGGTGCTGGACAGCCCCTCTTCCGAGGAGAAGGACACTCGGGCTCTCTCGTAAGCCATGTCCAGGTCAGCTTTTGCTCCAATTGAGGTTCCTACAAAACAGGAGAAAGAGTGTAAACTGTGGTCTCAAACACCATCCTCCTAGGCTTCTATCGCATGCCTACCTGCCCACCAAAGGGCAGAGATTAAGAAGTGATCTGGAGGGACACCGAGTGCCACGTGCACATCATTCAACTCTAAATCCTTCCACTGGCTCCGTTTATTTCTGGACCCAGTACAAACCTGGCCAATCCCCCCAATCCCTCCACGCTCCGACCCCAATGCACCCGTCTGTGACCTTCATTCCTCCAGCCCCACCACCCCCAGCCATTCAAAGGTCTCCTGCTCTTGTCAACGAGTCTCCCCTGCCATGCTGCCCTTACACCTCAAACTACCTCCTAGGACATCTGCATGGTGCCACCTTCCCTCACTTCCTTCAGCTCCCTCCTCAAAAATCACATCAGCTGCTCTATAAAACCTTTGGCACAAATTCCTTAATCCCCTCTGCCCTACTATAGCTAAGCCTGAATATGTTGAAACTGGAATGAACGGAGGAATCCTCTCCATGTCCATCCCCTTCCTTAGGGCAATTTTACATTGTAGGCTCCTCAGGGCAGGGGTCTTTCTTCTGGAACCCTGTTAAGAGGCACCAGGCACTTTTAAACAACAACAGTCCTTCCCCAACCCCATTGACTCCCCCTCCAAATTCCTGCTCACCAGCACTGTCAGTAGATCCAGAGGGAGACGTCAGAGACAAGCTCCTCCTGAGGGTGCTCTCTGATCCAAGAGCCTTTCCTGTGTCTGAGATCCAGAACAGAAACACAATGACCAGACCAAGACTCCCAAGACATGGCGTTTTCCCAGCACAAAGGGATGCACAAGACAAAAGAGGTCGCCATTGTTATTGGGGGGGGCATGTTCCCTCTATCCCCCCCCCCACTGAGCAGAACAGTTCACATCCTGAGCAGAATATAACTGCGGTAATCTTAAAATGGGCAGTGGACAGTGCAAGACCTTGCATGGCTCCGAACTGCTGCTGAGCGGGGTTTCCCGTGTTCATGAGTGGCCGCTCACATGCACACCTTAAGAGGGAACACTGGTGGGGGGGGGGGGTAAACAAAGGGTTCCATGGCACTCATTTCCATATATGTGATTTGGGTTAAGCAAACCCTGCTCTTTGCACCCGGGAGAGGGAAGGTGTGACAGCAGAATCCCCATTCTGTGCAATGTTCCCAGCATGAACACAAGCCAGTTACTAAGCCTAAGGTCTCATGTCTTTAGCACACGGGAGAGAGAGCCTAGCTCTGAAGCAAGAGATAGCTATACACTCCCACGGCCGTTATCCCAATACCACATAGATCTGCTAATCATGCCAGTAAGATGTGAGCACCCAGTCACCAAGGAATGCTTAGCATGTATCCCAAAGAGGAATGCTTGGCTTTTCACGTATCCCACAGAACATTCTGCTGGACAGAACTGCCCCACGTGGGCTTGAAACAGGTGTGTCAAAGACATGTAAGCAAGTGGCAAGGAGTCTTCAGACCCAAAGCGTGGGCCACGCCACTCAGAGCAACTTCTAAGAAGGGAACACTGACCAGTCTCCAAAGAATCCCCCTGTTTCTCCAGCCTCTCTGCCTTCTCCTCCTCTGAAAGGTTGGACAGCTGCCTTTTGATCGCTTTGTTGGTATTTCCACCAAAGGTTAAGCTTGCAACTGACACCAGTGGGATGGCCTGATTCTCCTGGCAGGACATGACATGAAAAGAGAAGCAGTGAGGCATAGGAAGTGCAATTCAAATCAGGAAACATCGAATTTGGATGGATGGTGCTTTGTGTCCCCTGCTGTGGCTCTAACTCCAAAACGTGAACTACGAGCCTCCCCTAACACCACACTTTAAAGGGCACAGAGAGGAATGCCCAACTGGGCACAGATTAATCCCCAAATGCCACAATGGATGGAAGGAAGCTAGAAAGTAATTGGAGCTCTGTCAGTCATAAATGCGAAGGAATCATTTTTTTCTCCAGTGAGATCAGGGGCAGTACATAGGGGCCACATAAGTTCATCCTCACAACAACCCTGTGAAGTAGGTTAGGCTGAGAAAAGACTGGTCTGTAGTAACGAAGTGAGCTTCATGGCTAAGCAGAGATTCCCCCAAGCCGTCTTGTTTTATTAATTCAGAAAATGCGTATGCCACCTCTCCAGAGAACCTGCCCAAAGTGGCTCGCAAATTAAAACACAATAAAATAATAAAACAGAATAAGATCATTAAAAGTTAACCAACAATTAAAACCAGCATCAACAAAACTCAGCCGGAACATAACACCGCATAAAATATTTAGCAGCTTTAAAGGAGCCTCGAACCGTCTCAAGGTTAGAAACAGATGTAAAAAGATTCCAGCCCTTTTGATTAAGACTGGGTAAAAAGAATAATTTTGGCCTGGCACCCAGAAGACAGTAAAAGCACCAAGCAAACCTCAAGGGGAAAGGCATGCCACAGGCAAGGTGGCACCATTGAAGAAGCCTTGTCACTGGACACCACCAACCTCACATCTGCAAGTGGGGGGCTTAGAGAACAAGGTTTGTGAGGAGGTGGGCTGGACAGTACCTGAGGAAGTGGGTCCTTCAAGTGCCCTGCCCCTCTCCCCTGCCATTTAGGGCCTTAAAGGGAGGAAACAGAACTCTGAACTGTGCCTGTAAACAGATGGACAGCCAGTGCAGGTCTTTGAGCACTAGGGTGATACTATCAGTCTATGTCTGCTCCTAAGGGCTGCTCTGTAGAATGTGAGGGATGGGTTCTAAACGTGCTTAATCTCTGTTTTAAAATAGTGATTGGCTTTGATGGTAGAGCACATTCTTTGCATACAAAAGGTCCCAGATTCGATCTCCGGCATCTCCAGTTAAAGGATCACAGTCATTGGAAAAGACGTTTCTCTGCCACAGACCACAAAGAGCCATTGCAAGTCAGAGCAGGTAATATTGAGGTAGGTAAATCAATGGTCTGACTCAGGCAGAAGGCAGCTTCAAATGCCCATAATAAGGCTAATACCACCACATCCCACTTTCCTTCTGTAAGCAGGAATGAAGAACATTGGCTCTTAAGAACATTAGAACACAATGAGCCTGCTGTATCAGACCAATGGTCCATGTAGTCCAGCATTCTGTCTCACACAGCGGCCAACCAATTCCTCTGGAATGACAACAACAGGGCATAGAGGCTGAGACTTTCCCCTGATGTTGCCTCCTGGCTCTGGGATTCAGAGGTTTAGTGCGCCTCTGACTGTGGATATCCCACAGAATCACCATAGCTAGTAGCCACTGATAGATTCATCGAGAATAGGTCTTTCTAATCCCCTTTTCTAAACTGTTTATTCCCGTGGCCATCACTACATCCCCTGGCAGAGAAGTCCATATTTTAATCACTCTCTGTGTAAAGAAGTTAGTTCCTTTTGTCCATCCTGAATCTACTGCCCATCTTTAATCAGATCTGCTGCCCCCAGGGACATCAACTGTGTTATACTTACAGCATTGAAGAGTTCAGTGGTCAAACCAAGGTAGTTGTGCAAGGCAAGGAAGGTCACTCTTTGGAGCCTCACCATGATGATCTAAGAGCAGAGGATCAAAAGCAGGCAAGAAAACTGGTTATGGCTGCTCTCAAGAGGGGCCTGGTTGTTGGGGCTTAAAGCTTGCGCAAGGATGGAGGAACCAGAATGAAGTATATGGAGCACAACAGATATCCTCATCCTTCAACACAGCAAAGGGAGATGATGCACAACCACAGTTAAGGGATGGGGTCATTCTGGAGCTAATGTGCCAAAGACCTTCCCCCACCCCCATTATCACAACAAAGTGACCTAAAGGCCATCAGTTCTAGCCCAGCCAAAAACAATGTGGTACCAGAGATGGAAAATCCAAGGAGCACATCAGTCCCACTAGATAATACAGCACACAGTTCAGCAGGATACTTTCTCATACAAGCCCTACTTAATGGGGAAGGGCTGTGCTTTGCATGCAGGAGGCCTCCAGTTCAATCCCCAGCATCTCTCAAACAGCAGTGCTTGGGAAACAGTCTCCGCCCAGGACCTTGGAGAGCAGCAGCTAGTCAAGAGTATGTATTGGGCTAGATGAAGCAAGGACCTGACCCAGTACAAGGCAGCTTCATAGATTCACATGGAGATGAGCTGTGCAAGAGTGCATAGAGCTTGTTCAGAAGACTGCACTACATAGGCTGCACTGTTAATGGACAGCACTGCATAGGCTGGATACATTCAGCTCCCACCATCAGTAATACAACCATTTTCATAGCCACTCAATCAAGCCAAAAAGCCTGTTCTCTCAAACACTCCACTACAGAACCACATGAGCCTCACCTGTACAACCCTCACAAGGGTCTCGGGATATTTCTGGAAGACGTCGTGAAATGCATTAGCTGGAAGCCGCAGGATCGTGGAAGGCATCGCTGCTCGAGCGGAAACTGTCTTGTATGGGGCAGGGTGACCCTGCAAAAGAGAACAGAGAAAACACACTCAGGTCTCCCCCATCACTTGCAGGGGTCCATGCGTCTTTTCCTTGGGAATGTTCAGTCTGGAGAAGAGGAGGGGGGGGGCATGATTGCTCTCTCTAAGTATTTGGAGGGCTGTCACTTAGAGGAGGGCAGGGAGCTGTTCCTGTTGGCAGCAGAGGATAGGACACGAAATGATGGGTTTAAATGAAGGACGGGAAGGTACTGGCTGGATATAAGGAAAAACGTTTTTACCGTCAGAGGTGTGCAACAGTGGAACCAGCTGCCTAGGGAGGCGGTGAGCTCCCCCTCGCTGGCAGTCTTTAAGCAGCGGCTGGACAAACACTTGTCAAGGGCACTCTAGGCTGATCCTGCAAGGAGCAGGGGGTTGGACTAGATGGCCTATATGACCCCTTCCAACTCTGTGATTCTGATTTCCCCTAGCAGTTCCCTCATTCTCTCCTCCTGGTGCTGCCAAGCAGAGAGATGTGGCTTTACCCAAAAGCAGCATTTACATGCCAGGAAAGCAACACCATTCTAAGGGACACCTCTGGCAGTTAAGGAAGAAAGGGGCCAAGAGGCTGCACCATGAGACTGTACAGTAGCATCAACGAACACAGTATCGTGACAGTAGTGATTCTCCCATCGCACGATGCAAGAGGGGATGCGACATGGCTTGAATAATTAAGCCGCCATGTTGGGTACCTCCTCCGCTCTTTGGCCCATTGATCCACCCCTCTTTGGCAATACTGAGCAGTGACATCATCCTGAGGAAGAAAGAACATGCCAGAATTCTCTCAGGCAGTCCTTGGTAAAACCGACAGGGGCAGGGGGCTCTCAGGAGCATCTCCACAGGCCAGAAAACCTCCTCCCATCCCTGAGCCCTGGCTGACTGGCCAGAGGAAAGGGTCGGGACCATGGAAGGAGATATTCACTGAGCTATCCTACAGCTGCAAGGAACACGCCAGCAGATCAAGAAATATATATCTCTGAATGTTCAGTCAGGTGCCCCTTTGAATGTGTGGATGAATTATTTGAGACATCTGAGAGCAACGTGTGGTGTAGCAGTTAAGAGCGGCGGACTCTGATCTAGAGAACCAGGTTTGATTTCCCGCTTCTCAAAATGAAGCCTGTGGGGTGACCTTGGGCCAGTCACAGTTCTCTCAGAGCTCTCCCAGCCCCACCTACCTCACAAGGTGCCTGTTGTGGGGAGAGGAAGAGAAGGCGATTGTAAGCTGCTTTGAGACTCCTCAGGGTAGAGAAAAGCAGGGTATAAAAACCAACCCTCCTTCCTCTTCTGATGGCCTGAATCAACTCCCTGTCAATTTACTACTCTGCCTGGTCCCCCAGACAACATTGCCCAAAATGACTGGGCTAATGGCTAAGCTTGCAGGAAGGATTTAATTATAACTTCTGAGACAGTTCACCCACCAAATTAGGACCGACTTCTGCTTTCACTGGACAGGGCTGTCCGAGAAGCAAGCCTCGGGGGTAATTCTCTTGCAGGTTTCCTGTGTGTTCTTGAATACTCTCAAACTACCTTCATTCAAGCAGATTTGTGGTTCCAGCCCACCCCTCCATCATCGGGGTTGTGCCTCCTCTGCCCCATCACCACCTTTCCTCCCGGCATTTGACCCCCGAACAAGCTTTCTCCAAAACACAAAATCTTCTATGGCCACAAGAAAAAAGAAAGAAAGCCATCATCTGGTTTCTTGCAGTGATAATTACTATGCTCCCAATTGGCTGCCTGGTTTTTAATTACAGGAGATTAGAAAAAGTAATTGCCCAGGCAATAAGCTGGCCCAAAGGCTGAAGCTTGAATGCTTAACATTAACTCTCCCAGTGGCTCCACAGACAAAAGGTGATCACAATTAGATTCATGCACAGACAGAGTGGGAGGGACCGGCTGGTGCCAAGATAAGGTGCAGGAGCTGAACACACCAGACCAACCAACTATTCAAGTAATAGAAGAAGACAAAGACAAAGAATTGGATTTATACCGCCGCCCTTCACTCGGAGTCTCAGAGCAGCTTATGATTTCCTTCCCTTCCTCTCCCCACAACAGACACCCTGTGAGGTAAGTGGGGCTGAGAGAGCTCTGAGAGAACTACTCTTGAGAGAACAGCTCTGAGAGAACTGCTGACTGACCCAAGGTCACACCAGCAGCTGCCCGTGGAGGAGTGAGGAATCAAACCCGGTTCTCCAGATTAGAGTCCGCCACTCTTAACCACGACACCAAACTGGTAAGTGAGAGACTGTGTTGCGTAGCAGCTAGAGTCTCAGACTAAGGAGACCCAGGTTTAGATTCCCACTGTGCCATGGAAGTTTGCTGAGTGACCTTGGGCTAGTCACACATGGTCTCAGCCAAACTCACCTCACAGGGTTGTTGTGAGGATAAAGCAGAGGAGAGAAGAATGACACAAGGCACTTTGGGTCCCCACTGGGGAGAAAGGTGGGGTATAAATGAAGTAAGTAGTCACTTGCCAGTTCGCCTCTGGCCAAAAAAGCTTTTGTAAGCTGAAAAATATGAGGTTCTCATCTTCCCCTTTTTAACATTGTTGACATGCCACAAGCACATTGTTCCAGGACATAAATGCAAGCAAAAGAAAAATCAAACAAACCACAGGTTAGGTATTTTGTCTGTAGACTTGCTCGCAAGGCTAGAAGTGACAAACAAACCTCTCAAGTAGTTTAGCAAGAAAACTGAGCAAGCCTGGCCTTGTCTTATAAGCAGCCTTCCTGGCCAGGCAATCCTAAGCTCACTAATACTTAATGCAAATCAAACATACGCAAGACATCTACTGACTGTTTATGCTGCTTGTATAAAGAGCTCTCAAAACAAACATACAACCAACTAAAATCACTGAGAAATGGCAGCATGTGGAAACTTCCAACATAGCTTAAATTCCACCACCCAAAATCTGGCAGAACAAACAGGGCTTCACAGGTCTCCTAAAATAAAAACAACAACAAAAAAGGAAGGGAAGTCTGAAAAGCAAAGGAGTTCTACATCACTGGGGCCACCATGCAAAAGGCCCTACTTCCGGGAAATGCCAACATGTCTTCTACCTGTGATGGTTTTTAGCAGGGCTCTTTTTGTAGAAAAAGTCCAGCAGGAACTCATTAGCATAATAGACCACACCCAACAGCAAAACTCATAAGCATATTAGGCCACACCCCTGACAACGCAGCTCATTCGCATATTAGGCCACACCCCCATGTTACCAGAAGTATAGTCATCCAGCCACACCCAACTTTTGCTTCTTATTCTATTTACCCTGTTTGTTGTCAAAACCCAGGGCTTTTTTTGTAGCAGGAACTCCTTTGCATGTTAGGCCACACACCCCTAACGTAGCCAATCCGAATGCGTTTCTGCTGTTGGGTGTGGCCTATTATGCGTTCCTGCCCAAAAAGAGCCCTGGTTTTTAGAATGGGTCCTTATTGGCCAAGTATTAAGAAATGGGAGTAGACTCCCCCTGGACTTTAAAAGTCAAAAACAGCACTTTGTATTGAGCCTGGAAGCACACATAATGCTGTACTACATGGGCATCATTTCCGCTGAAAGAATGAGGGAACTCACTGCTGAAAAGGCCCTGTCACTATCACCACCCAGTGGTGCTGAGACAACCAAGGCATGTGGAGCAGGGCTTCGAGGAAGATCTGAATGTCCCGACAAGCTCCTGAGGATGGTCCTGGACATGGACCATTTCAGGCTTTAGAATTCTGAGCATGAACTGAAAGGCATCTGGGAGCCAGCACAACGATGGCAGAAATCAGTACAATACGTTCCAAGCAGCCTGCTCCAATTAGCACCCCAGCAGCCACATTCCAGGCACTTTTTAAAAGCAACCCCACAAACAGCACAACACAGGGTTTTCAGACAGCAGTCAATACATTCCTTCATAGAGCCAGCTCACGCTCCCCTGCTGGAACTGTATGTCTTGTACACAAAGAGCAACTGATCCGGCACCCTGAGTCCCAAAGTCCAGGCTACAGTGGACTTACGGTGATGACATCCAGTATGCTGAGGAGGCTGTGGACGCTGTCTCCTGCTAGAACCTCTTTCACCACAACTTCTGTGCCATCCTATGGGAATCAAAAACATTGTACAGAAGATGAGGGAGAGGAAAGAGAGCCTTGAAGAAGGCAGAAAAGAAGTTTATCTGTGCATGAGACTCAAACACACAAAGGATGTGGAAGGGAGACAATGGGGAACAGTCATTAGCTGGCCAGGAGACCTTGCTGCCCTTGCAATCATCCCCCTCCTGACCCAGGCACTGAACTTCCAGGCAACTGGAGAGAGAAAGAGAGAGAGATGCATCTTTCCCAACTGAGTGGCGCCCTCAAGGCCTTAAGCAGCCCCGCTCTTCATCATCTGCAGACACCACTACAGAACCACAATCCCCAAATATGAACAAGCCTAACAACTGAGATTAGGATTTGAGAAAAGACAGAGAGGAATTCCCCTGGGAGGAACAGAGGGACTGCTCCAAAGAAGTCCATCTGTCCTTGACCAGAGCCAGGGCCTTTCAACAACAACATTAACACCAATGTTAACATCATTATTAACAGCCTGACATAACCCAGACTATAATGTTAGCTGACTGCATGCTTATGTTACACGCTGCTAATGCCCGCCATCGTCTCTATGAATTCCACTAGCACTTATGCTATGTTTTATAGCTATACTGTTGTGACTTTACTCAAATTTTCTGTTTCAGTTGTTCAATATATTTTATGAAAGCTGCCATGAGCCTGCCCTGGCAGAGGGTGGGATATAAAATAAATAAATAAATAAAAGGCATACCACAGTATCATAAACAGGCATGGAAATTGCATTCATCATTTGCACTTATTAATACCAGCTCTCCTCTTGGCAGCGAAGTACAGAAATTTAGCCACCATTTCCATAGTCACTACACGACAATTGGAGAGTAAAGAGAGTACCTTCCACTCATCAGATTGGTTTCCATGGTCTCTCAATACTGGCTCCAAGATTAGCATGGCCCCTGCCAGGGCCTTTCCTGCCCTGGCTCTGATCGAGGACTCTCTGTTCCTCCTAGGGGAATTTCTTTCTGTCTTTTCTCAATCCCTAATCCTTTTCTGCCCTGGCTTCCACCTGGTGGAACTCTCTGCCCAACAACATCCATCCCCTGTAGAACCCCCCCCTGCTGTATACCATCAATGTGGGGGGGGGGTGAGGGCCCTAGGAGACTAGGGGAACATCTGAATATCTGATCAACATCTTTCACACCATGCCTACCAAGGGATGTTTGGTATGTGGTGCCCTCTCTGACGTCTTAGTATGGATGCTGTGAAGTCTGAGCACTTTATTGTCTGATTGGGTTTTTAAATTGTATATTATGGTCTTAAAATGTATTACAGTATTGATGTTTTTATGTGCAAGTTTTTGCCATGTAAGCCGCCCTGAGCCCTACGGGGGAGGGCGGGATATAAATTTAACAAATAAATAAATAAATAAATAAATAACCTCATGCAGTTTCACAGGGCTTGCAAGACAGAGATGTTCCACCAAGGCTTTTGGTTGAGGACAGCAATGGGTACCATCTTACTGTCACCTCCCCCCCCTTCTTCCTGCCTCCGTTCCATCTTCCCATGGGGCAGTGACATAATTGGAATTCGAAGTCTTAACACCATCTGAGACTGTTTATCTATGTATTATTTAAATTGTTCTATTATCTATTGATGTTTTTATTGTTATGTTGTTGACCACCTTCAGCCATGTGCAGTCAAGGGTAGGGCGGTCTATAAATTTAAATGATAAATAAATAAATATAAACTGTTATACAACCCAATCCCAGTTTATATTTTTAATAGACCCAAATGAGAAAAGCTTTGCCTGGGTCAGTGCCATTTCAAGGCGGGGGATGGAGTGGTACGCATGTTTGAAAGCTTCACCAATGAAGGGGGTAAAAGAACTCTTCTCCCTGCAGACAACTAAGAAGTCATGGAGAAGGCTTCAGCCTGGCTTTCTTCCCAACATGCTGCTTTCCTAGAGGCAAGATTTTTCCTCCATAGGGAAGCATTCAAATATGCAACATACTCCACCCCTCGCAACCGCAAATAGTACAGTCCACCAAAGTATTATCACTCGATGCTATCAGACATACAAAACGGGCCTTGGATATTTAACTCCTCTTAGCTGTTGCCTTACATTCTCCTGGATGCAGACTTCCAGTTTTCCGTCCTGTACTACGTAGATGCTATTGTCCAGCTGCCCAGGGCGGAAGATGTACTCCCCTTCGTGCAGCTGCACAAAGACCATATGCTTGCAGAGCTCCAGGAAAAGAGGCTTCTCAAAGTGCCCAAGGACCCTGTGGGAAAAGACATGGTGATGGCAAGGGGAAAGAACCATGCTTGAAATGCCCTACAGCTGACCAAGGCATCTTCTTAGCTGGTGTGAAGATAGGCCAAGGGAAAAGCTTTAGAAGACCACAAACTTTGCATGCGGGAAGTCGCAGGTTCGATCTCCAGCTGTAAAGAGAGCAGACAGTAGACCTCTGCCTCAGGGTGTACATAGCTGCAGCCAGTCAAAGTAAACAGTACTAGGTCAGGAGGCTCATAGGTCTGAAATGGTGCAAAGGCAACTTCAGACATTCCAGTCTGGAGCATTCAACAGAGCAGTGCTAAACTGTGGCTTTTGTTTTAAATGTGTTTTATAGCTACTGAGTGAAGCGAATATGCTCGGTCAACCTTAGGCCAAGTTTTGGATTGGCAGGTGGTCCCAACCGGGATGTCCAGTTGCAACTGAGGATCAGAACTTTTAATACTTGTGCAGAAAACAGAATTCTAAGAGACACAGCTTGCCTTGGTTGGGGATAGGAGAAGTTCCTGTCAATGCCTCCTACTGTTAAAGGGAGAGGAGCCCTGCTCTCCTCCTCTGACCACCTTGTCACTCACAGAAATACAGGGGGGGGGGGAACACATCTCTAAACACTTGCAGCCACCCATGAAAAAAGGCAGGCAAGAAGTTCAAAGCAAAAGGAAGCGATTCTTCACACAACACAGAATCAGCCTGCTGACCTTAGTGCCACAGGATGCTGCCACAGCCACTCCTTCAAATTACTTCTAAAAAAGGGGACCAGATGCATACATGGGAGAGAGATCAGGGACTGCAACCAGCCAGCATTAGTCAAGAGGCAACCATCCTCAGAGGCAGCATCCTTCTGAGTACCAGATGCAGGGATTAGTGGTGAATGAGATTGCCATCCTGGCCTGCCTATGAACCTCCCAGAGGCCCTGGTCTGCCCAGATTACCAACAGGAAAAGCCAGCTAGATGGGCCCGGCATGCCAATCCTTATTCTTTCCAAAACAAATCATGTCAGACTCAATTTTTATGCAAACCTTTAAGCAAAGGGAAAGTAATCACCTTTAAATCCCATCAGAGTCCTGGCCCTATTGCTACCTTTATCCCTTACCTGACATTTTTAAGCATATAAAGGACTTCGGAGGGCAGGTGGGAATTCTTCACATCAAACTCTGTTAGGTCTGCTTCTAGCAGGGAGGGAGGCGGTTCCTTGGGCTGGAGGGTCGGGGACTCTTTCTTGAAGCGCAGGATCCTGCAATAGATGAAAGTAGGACAATTTTGCCCTCCCATTACAGACAAGAAGATTTATTAAAAGACTGATTAACCACAATTCTCGGCCAATGGTTCCCAAAGCAATTGATGATAAAAGAAAGCAATAACAACAACTCAATGATAAAATACAACCAGTATTAAGAAAGCAAGAGATCCTGCAGCTGAAAACAGAGGTCCCTGGCAAGCCAGCACAGCAGTACAGCCAACAGGAAGGCAGATGTTATGATGAGCCACGGTTTGAACAACAAACATTGATTAGCCTGCTTAATATGCAAGCCCCAAATTACCTTTCCCCCCCCCTTGCTTCTTCTCCTCAGCAGGGAAGACCCCTCCCTTTCTGTGCTATCTCTGTGGCCACAAGGGGCAGCGCGACTGATTTGTGAATTAAAATGTCATAACTACCCCATAATTAGCACAAACCATGGTTCACAAGCCCACTACAAACCCAAGACTGAAATCCCATCAGAACTCAGACAACACAGATAAATGGGGTTTGATTAAACCACAGTTTACGGCAGAGTCTGAATGCAACCAGCAACCATACAGTCAGATCAATAATACAGTCGGATCACTTGTCAAGCCAGTACAAAAACCACACATGCTTATTCCAACTAAACTGCTTACTCCATCTCATCTCTTCCTTCCATCCTGCTATGTTCTTCCTGATGACCCTGCCTTGCTGGATTTGATCCTGCTTTGCATTCTGCCTAGATCCGGTGCTACCCTAGATCTGATCTGGTCTTCCCCAACTCCACAAAGGCACTCCTCATCAGTTTACAATTAGTTGACCTATGAACTGGGTCTGGTCAGTTCACGACATTGTGCCTGGTCCACCGGCACACATTGACTCCCATGAAAACAAATCTGTATACACACCCAGGCAACACCTTTGTCTATTTCCTTGAGCTCATAAAAGAAACTCATCTGACATACAGTGGATGGAAGCCCCTTCTGGTTCACATCACCCAAACAACCGCACAGACTCCCTGCCCTGCGTGCCCCCCTACCTCTTTGCCAAGGACAAGACTTTGGCCCTTTTCCGCATCCGCTGCCGAGGCACAGCATTTCCAACCAGGGTATTTGGCAAAGTTGTTACCTAAAAGGAAGCAAGATTCCTTGAAGTGCAAGACCTGGCTCAGTAGCAGAATGGACAGGAGAAATGCACCACAGCTCTTGATCTGCTGGGCCAATAAACAAGCAGCTCCAAAAGAAGGGGTTAACTCCAGTTTGTGTTTGTACCAGTGAAGACCAGACAAGGGGCATGCCCAAGTGCTTTGAACATTGAGGTTAAAATTGTGCTACTGATTTAACTCAGGAACTGGTTTCCAGAGTCATAAACAACCAAGATGTTTTAGTCTGTAACAGATTAGTGTTCCAATTACAGCGAGAGCCAACAAGTTTTCCACCTATATCTATTTAGAAAGCATAAAATAATTTCCACTGTTGAAGTACATTTCTTTTAGCCCTGTGTGCTATGAGAGATGCTATTTAACTGGTGTGTCAGGCAACTGGTGCCTGAAGGTGGCTCTAGGAGACCAAGGGCACAGGGTCCAGCTAGTGACAGCTGTGTCTGGAGTGCCACCTACAGGAGCAAGGCTTGCAATGCATCCAATGGTTTGCCTAGCTCAGAAAATATCACTCAGGGAACACTGGTGTAGAGTTCAGAAGCACCTCACCACTGGAGGGCTAGCATCATGCTCAAGAAGAGGGAACACTGGTGGCTACGGAGGCCACAGTCCTGCCCAAGCCCCAGTTTGTTCTACATCGGTCTGCACTTCATGGGCAGTGAAATTCTAAGGGAATATATGTGTGCATGCGTGTGCGCATGAAGACACGCACACACAATCTCCTCATCTTCTCTCCTAGTGTGTGAGCATAAATCAGATAATTTGGCCAGTTGTTTAGCAACTAAGCCCCGCTCTCCCCCTGTGGAGCAATCCTGCACTGTTATCTGCAGCTCAGTTGCAAGCACCAAACACCAATCACGTAGAGCATCCGTTTCTTCAGGAGCCTTGTGAAGAAGTGTTGATACAAATATGTGGCACGGACAGTTTGCAAAGCCATCAGCAGAGGCAAGTAGAGAACTGAGCACAATCACTTCCAACAGAAAACAAGCTAACCCTGCAGCATTTTATCTCTATGAGAGATAAGGGGAGGGGGTAGGTACAGTTCCCAAAGCAACCCTCAGATCAAACCAAGGTCAACTTGTGTACATAAATACTAAGAGGAGGGTTCTGGCATGCGACGAGATTGCTTGGCATTACTGTTATCAGGCTGAATTTGCTACCAACCTCCTCCACCTTATTACAGAGGCTTACCTTGTTGGCATATTGTATTATATGTATGCAAGATGACAGCCAATGATGCACACATGTCAGATTAAACTGATCTAGGTGACAGGTAAGACTGTCATGTGACAGGGTCACCAGATGCAAGTTGCACTAGGTTGCATCAGCTAATTAACTATGTCACCATGAGTTGGCAAAATGACTCTGATTGGTGCAAGTACTGTATATATGTAATGTAGTCCAGAGGCAAGTGTTCCACACCAGTGGAAGAGTGTATTGCGAAGCACCTTGTCGGTCAGTTCTATGAACCTGGGATACCGCATGGTGGAATGGACTGTGTAAATAACTGTAAATAAAAGCCACTGTATATAGCTCAGATACAGCATCCTGATATCATTATTATTCAGACGTTCTGCGCATGCCGTCATACCTTCCGCATGATCTTGCGGCCGTAGAACATCACTTTGTCTCTCTTGCGAAACCGATACTGAGGCACTTGTGGCTGAGGTTGCTCTGAAAGAGATAGGCCTGTTTTTTAAGGACAAGCAGAAACAATCTTCTACACTTGCCTGCTACATGGGCACTCCTCGCTGATAAGATGGGTGCAAAGAAAGAAAACTGGACCTCCACCTGAGACCATGGAGAGCAGCTGCCAGTCAGAGTAGACAATACTGATCCAGATGGATCAAATGTTTGATTTGGTATAAGCCTGCTTCTGGTTCAAGGTCAATGTGTACCAGAAAGACCTGGGTTCAAATCCCTGTACAGCCACATGTGCATTTGGGCAAGTCACTCTCTTACCCCCTAGTTTTACAGGGTAAAATGGAAGAAGGGGAGAACTGTATACTTCAATCAGAGCTCCTTGGAGGAAAAGCAGGAGAAAAATGACAATGACAGATAGCAACATGATTGGCTCCTGCAGAGGGTGGTGCCGTGTGAGCATCATCCAGCTTTTATCTCGGGGGTGCTGAACCTCCAGTGTGGCCCTCCTTTCTGGAGTGTTTCCAGACAAAAGACATTGGAATGTCACAAAGCAAGAGCCTCCAGAATCCAAATGTTCCTTCTCTTTACCTCCCCAACCCAGCTTTCCCTTTCCTTTGGTATACATCCTACTTTTTCAGGACAGACAAAGACAGTACAGTTAACCTAGCAAGGAAAGAGTTGGGAAGATAAAAAGAACTAGTCTGATGTTTGTGAAAGGTCAGTTACACTGAAGCTAAATTTCCCCCCATTCCTCTTATTTCTACACATCCTGAAAAGAAAATAAATGGTTAAATGGCTTCAGGGGGCATTAAACTCTCCATCAGAGGAGGAGAAACTGGCCTTTACCCCACATCAACTTAACAAGTAAGCACTTGAAATCCACATGCCACCACCCACATTATACTCCAAGTTGATTTCACAGCCCCCCCCCCCCAAACTCTACTGCCCAGGAACAATTAAGCATAAGGGTCACACTTACTCGACTGTTTGACCTTCCTGTAAACAAGACACACGACAATTCCAATAATGCTCAAGGCTACTGCTGCTCCAATGATTATTCCAGTTAACTGTAGGAAGTAGTTAAACAAGAGGTGTGAGTCTTAAAAACTGCCTTTCCCCCCCAATTGCTTATGTCAAGCCTGATGGAAATGCTCAACACTTGCACTTTCCCCCACCACAACCACACTTGGGTTTGAAAGAACTCTACCCCATTTGATTGCTAAAGTCTAAAGTATATGAATCCCTCAGCTATAAGCCTGATACACAAACCCACTCCCCAAAAGACCCCTCCACAAGCAGTACCAGAGACAAGCGTCAGTCACCACCGTAACACAACACCAGCAATGACCTGGAAGCCATACAGGAGAAACCTGAAGCCTTGATTTTTGGAACAAAGTTCGGGGCAAGATCAGTTCAGTGCTCTGTTCCCTTTGGAAGTGCCTGAACTAATATTAATTGTACACACATGCTACATTACCATGGTTGTCTGCAATCTGTCTTCTACAAACTGAAGAACTCGCATTCTTAGGTCTGCGCTTGTCAAGAAGCCGGCCTAAAGACAAAAGTTTCAGATGCTTAGCTTGCAGTTGCTTGCATGCTGTGCTTTATGGCATGCCGGGGTGGAGACGGGATTCATTTCTGGACTAAACAAGCCAGCCAGGGGGCCTCTCCCGCACCTTCAAGAGGTGGTTTTAGGTATACCTAACTTAGGGGTTAATACAAATTCATACCTTAAACCACAGCGTGTACATGATGAAGAGCCAAAGTGAAGGTAAATGCACACAGGTGGATAATATGATAGTCCTGGAGCTTCTACTTATGCCAGAGGAATTAAACTATGGGCAGGAAGTCAGTTCTGTTTTTGTTTTTAATTTCCAGGCCAACGTGTTATGAAATAGCCAGTAGTTACAAACATACAACCCAAAAAATGCACTCTCACATTTAGGTTCATTCATCTGGACATTTATTATCTTACAGTTAAGCACTTTCAGAAATCAACGATTTGGTACATGGTAGAAAAAGGAATCCATTTATTTTCATGTATGACAAAACGACACTATTGTGGTTGTCAAGCAGGTACAGTAAGAAATAAAAATTTCAGTATCGGCACAGAATATACACACATAAAAGTACACAGTGTGGAGAAAACACACTGGAGTCTCACACAGGGATAATATTATATAGGGATATCATATAGGGATATTACATATTAAAACAGCTACGTTGTTTGTATGGTGGTTTCTGGATGCAATTCAAAGTGTAGTTTTTGACTTACGTAAAGTGGAACACAAGTACTGAAATGAAAATAAATGCTGAAAAACTGTGTGTGACTCAATCATTATAACTGAGACATCTTGGGATAGAACTTCTTGCTTACTTGGTACACCAATAACCAACACTTATAGGCAAAGTTACCAACTTTAGTTTTCTAGAGTTCCTGTGACTGAATGATCTGAACATATGCAGAGTGCTTTTCCTTCTCTTGAACCTGAAAGGGGGGGGGGGAATCAGACCTACACTCCCCTTTCTGTTCTGGCAGCTGGCCAACCAAATGAAATTAAACCAGGCCCATAAGATGCTGGTTTAGTTGGTCAGCATCCCTTACCAGAAAAGTTTACAGTTAAATTTGGCTAAACTTCAAAAGGGAAGGACAAGAGGGAGGGAAATTTGGGTCATGGCATTCTGTACTATTAGCAAAACCAAGGCAAGGGGCATATGGTAGCATATTGCAATGCTGAAGCCAAGCTTACATTTTGTTCTAAATCCCCATGAAACCCTCAGAAGTTGCAGCAGTGTTCATAATAATTGAAGGCTGCATCCTACTTTAGGAGAGTTGAGTCCAGTACTTATCATACTCCTCCCTCCCCACCCAGTCAAGTTAGTCACAGCTGAATTCCACTGACCAGAATGAGATTTCAGTAACTCCAAACTAGTTCCAACATGCCTTAGTTGCAACTAACTTGCCACAACCTTGCTATTTATTGGATGCAATATTCATAAAACTGATTTTGTCTAAACTGTTGTTTTAAATAAAAGTTCACAATAGTGGCATCCAATAAATAATTACTTCAAGGACCTCCAGTTCAGCTAAAAGCCTGTTTAACTGGCTCATCAAAACCAGCAACTCAGCACCTAAAGCTCATGATGGTCTGAGACCTAGTCACACTTGAACTAGCCTTGGGGTGGTTGCTTCAAGACAGCAGAAATAAGGAGAGGGACTTTCTGGTTATTATGGGGCTATTATAAAAATTACAACATGCCAATGGGGGTTGTCTTCATACACTGGGCAGGTTTATCAATGCTGTGATTGATTTAGCTTTCAATACTGGTAGTACTATTGAGCTGTATCCAGCCAGCTTTTTCAGTATTTCACCCAATTCCCCTCCTTACTACAGCCCCCACCCTAGATAGCTTCTGTTCATTTAGGTATCATGATCTGCAGCACAGCAGTTTTGGTAGCCAAAGGCACACTCTCCTCCCTTTTCCACCAGCAGAAAAATTGTTTGGAACCAACCCATTGTTTTTACACTTTTCATTGTTCTGAAAATATTAATTTGATTGCAAGCAGTCCCAAGGGCTTTTGAATCACAGTCTCAGCCTAACCTACCTCACAGAGTTGTTATGAGAATAAAATGGACTGGGGAGTACTTTAAGTCGCCATTGGGGAGAGAGGCGGGGTACAAATGAAATTCCTCAAACAGAGAAGCTTCAAAGGGAGACTACAATGCGAGATTGCTGAATTTGAGTTCATTCACAAATTCACAATAGACCTCCCCAGGGCTGAATATATATTTTTTGTCCTTAAGTCACAGGTGACTTATGGCAACCCTGTGATGTTTTGAAGGCAAGAGACATTCAGAGGTAGTTTGCCACTGCCTGTTTTCATGTCACAACCCAGGTATTCCTTGTTAGTCTCCCATCCAAATACGGACCCTGCTTAGCTTCCGAGATCTGACGAGACTGTGCTAGCCTGGGCTCAGGCCTGAAAAAAGACACATGATTTTTATCCCACTACAAATGCTAATTTTCTGAACCCAAGCACTGATCTCTTGCAGTAATCAAGCTGCTTACATTTTGCATTGTACTTTAGTAAACTGATTGCCTTCTTGCAACACTCCCCACCACCACCTTCTGACTGGGATAGAAGGGCTCAGGGTTCTCCATTCCTCCTCATGTCTGATGAAGGGAGCTTTGTCTCTTGAAAGCTCATACCCTGAAAATCTTGTTGGTCTCTAAGGTGCTACAGGACTCAAATCTAGCTCTATAATAGGACATATAATTTATAAATTTAAAACAACATGTGAACCACTTTGAATACAAAAAGCCTATATAAATAAAGCAGTGAACAAACAAGGCTCAGTAGTTAACAACATAAGAGACCTGTTGGATCAGACCAGTGGTCCAGGGGCCAGGCTGACAGAGACAAATACTCTGCACACAGACTCAGAGGCATTTCACATGCTTATTGGTAGAGGCTCCATCGTCAACCAAAAGAGAGACTGCACCCAAGAAATTAGAAGGCAATTGAGACTGGGAAAGGCAGCCATAAAGGTGCTAGAAAAGATTCTTAAGTGTAGGGATATGTCACTGGCAAGATTGCTGCAGCACACTGCTTATGAGAATGAACTGTGATCCAGAAATATATAGGTTCAAATGACATCTCAGCCACAATCTCATCAAAGGACCTCATCAAAGTCTCCCCTCCCCCCCTTTTATCAGAAGGGTAATACTCTGGTGAAGGGTGATGCTCTGTCATCTTGGTGCTTGAGGGGGGGGGGTCAACAGTGGGAGGGCTTCTAATGTCCTGGCCCCACTGGTGGACCTCCTGATGGCACCTGGTGTTTCTGGCCACTGTGTGATACAGAGTGTTGGACTGGATGGCCCTCTGGCCTGATCCAACATTGGCATCTCTTATGTTCTTACTGGTTAGGGTTGCTGCCTGAACAGCTCTAAAGTACGAAAGACCTAGTGAGAACTAAAGAAAATCTCTTCCACATGTCAGAGCATTAAGAGGCCTTTATTAGCATAAAGCACCTCGGTAATGTATTAAGGTTGATCCATGCAGTATGACCATGCATGTCATCTTTTCCATGATTCCTAGGGCAATTCCTTGAATCAAGGAACTGGTGAAATACCTAATATTATATAACACAAGCCCAACAGCACCTTAAAGGTCAGCAACATTTAATTCAATATGATCTTTCAGGAGTCACCGCCCACTCCAGCCCCCCCCCCCGGACTTGTTTTATTTTTCTACAATACAGTAACGCGGCCGCCCATTTGCTATACCCCGCACTCACAGGGAAGTTGCAAGGAATGCCAGATAAAGTCTGCAAAGTACTTTCAACCCTGGAAATGTTGTATAGAAGCCTACTGTGATAATGAGAGCGAAGAGGAAAAAGCAGAAAGTCCAAGACGCCCAGGATAGGAAGGAGACCACCTACCTGAAGCGGCGAAAGTCCATCCCCCATGGTGCTGTCAACTCAAGGGGTCCGAGACTGGAGAAAGGAAGAGGAGGGGGCAGCGCGACCCACTAACGGTTGTTTTCTCTCCTTTGAGACTCGAGACCTAAAGATCATGTGTGAAAGTTCACTGGGAAAAGGTCAGGAAGCCTCCGATCAGTAGTTTCCGCAATCGTCACTTCCGCGGAGGGGTGTCGTTGGGACCTTCGGGGTCAAATAGAATCCTTTCATCGTGGCAAATCTAGTATTTTTATCGCAAAGGAGCGGCGGAATAGAGCAACTGTCGATTTTAACCCGGAACATTAAATTGCGCGCAAGGCGTTTTCTACCGCTAGAGGCAGCACGTCAGAAACTTTATTTAGTTCCCGGGATCTTTTCACCAATGAGTAGGCGCGTGTGTAATAACTGCCAACCGAGTTGGAGCTTTTAATTGGGAGCGGGGAATGGATGGGGAGTAACGTACCCAATCAGAATATGAAGATTCCAAGAGTGGGCGGTACTACACGGTCACGTGCGTGAATAACAACTAACGTCTGAGATAAGTCCCACTTCAGAGGAAAATGGCATCTCTGATTACCTTAATTCTGATTGGCAGAAAAACAGCTCCCGCCCTAGGGGAGGGAAACCATGTATGGGAACTGGCGATTAGCTGTGCGCGACTTAGCCAATGAGGACAAGCGATATTGCTGGGTGCCTGAGGAAAAGGAAAGCGGCTTTTAAGTTGAGGTAAAATTGGTCAGAGAGAGTCACCACGAGGCCTTTTCTGTCTTCATAGCCTTTCTTTCGATGGGGCTTCTGGGCGAACTAACCCGGGGCCTGGTGCGTGGCGCCGACCGTATGGCGCCCTGGACTAGCAAACGGGGCCCGCGATCCTTCAACAAGGGCCGAGGCGCTAAAAACGCCGGCTTCCTCACTAAAAACAGGAAGTTCCAGCTGGTGCAGGAGATGGTGCCCAAGCTAGTGGTGCCCGACCTGACCGGCTTCAAGCTCCGGCCGTACGTCTCCTACCGCGCCCCCGCAGGCAGCGAGCCGCCCCTCACCGCCCGCGACCTCTTCCAAGAGATCGTCGCCCCCAGCATCAAGAAGGACGTCGAGGAAGGCACCTTCGATGCGGAGAAGCTGGAGAAATACGGCTTTGAACCCAGCCAGGAGGGGAAGCTCTTCAAGCTCTTCCCCAAGAACTTCGTGCGGTAGGAGGAGGGGGGAAGCCACAGGCAGAGACCGGCGAGCTTGGAAGAACGAACGAGGAGGAGTCGGCTTCAGTTGCTGTATGACGGCGAAGGAGGGCCTTCGCTGGATGTTTGACTCAAAGCAAGCAAACCTTGAACGTTCTGTGGTGCAAAAATTAAAAAGCCCACTTAACCATGCCTCTGTGTGGGGTGACTTTTTGGGGAGCAATTTGCTACACGGGCAGTTTTGATGAGTGTGTGGGGGAGAAGAAAACCAACACGAACATGTTTAGCCTGGAAACTGTTACTTTAAGCTGTCTATAGTCTTATTTATATGCTGAGCTGGAGCTTTTTAATGCTGGAATTAATTTAAATCTGACAATAAATAAATAAATTTTATTTTGTAAGCTAACTCAGGCAGGAGAGGCAGTATAAGAATGTTCTAAATAAGTAAATGCAGGAAGGCTGATGTTTCAAAGGTTTTGGAGCAACCCTGCAGCAGTCTAGAGTGGGGGGGGGGAGGGAAGGATGCTCCTGTAGGATAGTTGATGTAAAGGACATACAAGAGAATCTGCTTGAGGAGCTTAAAAATAAACAATAAGAAATGCCATAACAGTTCATTATAAAACCTAGCATTAAAAGGTCAGAGCATAAAAACAACAAACCATGTATGATTTATTAGCTTGCCTCATTCTAACTAAGCGGCCCCAAATGCTTTTGGCTTTGTCTCATAGGGCTGACACTTCAACCTCTTGTTTATTTTGGTTGCCTTCTTTTCTCCCCTTCTGGGATGCAATAACCAAAACTAAATATATAGCCATAACAGGGGTGGTTCTGGTAATCCATGGAATTTGTCTTATCACTGCTGCACACCAAGTCACTCACTGTCAGCTAGCTGTCCACTTCAACACCAGTCTTTTTCCTGGTCTGTTACTGTCAGCCCATCAGCATTTAAGGTAGGCTTTGCTTCCTTGCTAGAATATCCTGCAATTTATGATCACATTTAAAATAAAAAAGGAAGATACTAGGAGGCTGTCTAATGGGCAGAATGCTTTCTGAATTCTGGTTTTTAGCTGTGTAATCTAGCTAGTAGTCTTCCAGTAGTACTTTTGAATTGGAGGTTGCACACTACACATTTAATTCTGGGGTGGTCCTGCTCTGGTTAAGATTGATCCAAAATTATATGCTAGAAATTTGAGGCCAGTACTACTCCCAAATTCCAGAGCAAATCTGTCCTGCTACTATAGCTAATTTACAGCAACCTATTGGATGTGTGGCAAAACCATGAGGAAGTGGAAAAGACTATGCAGGATTACATGTGGACTCAGAAGTTATACCCATAGTGGTTGCAGTCCTGCCAACTATCCTACTGGGTTACACAGCAAGACAGTTCTTATCCAGTAGCCTCACTCAGCACAAAGAACTTTCATGCTTTGCTAAGTGAAAGTTAACCTCTCTGCTGCTTCTAGAAAAGGAAAATAATTTGTTGTAGGCTCACACCTAATACAGGGACCATTCCACAGGTGGAAGGGGTATATTTGGGATTTGTTATATTTCAATTGTGACTTGTAAGCCACACTGAACCATGATAAAGGTGGGAGTAGATATATTTTAATTAGCAAATAACACTGCAAGCACTCCCTGAAATTCCATACCCAAAAACAAAAAACAGTAAACAAAGATAGAAGACATATCTCTCTTTATTTTAGAAAGATCCAAAATATATACTTTAAACAAGTGATTTGTTCACAATGTGCATATTTGTATGTAAGTGTCCTAGGTGGTAGGAATAGTGTTTCAAGAGAAATATTTGCCCTTCAGCAAGGATTCTTGCAGCATTAAGGAACCTGCGTGGCCTTCCAGGTTTCAAGAAAGTATCCTTGCTATTAATGCTGTCTGTTGCTGGTGTTCTTTTGTTCTGTAATGGAAGCAATACTTAACCTCCATAGTAGTAGGTGGTAGCTATCTTAACCCTAAGCCAGTCTACAGAAGAGATGGGCCAAACTGCTTCTCTATTCCCCACTACTAATTTACCCCCAGTAGCATATTCAGAGCAGTCTCTTGCTTTCCTAGGGACAGGATTTGGACTACAGAAATATGAACATAATACTGTCAGTCTATTTCCCCTCCTTCAGGTGTCTGGCTGGAACGAAAAGATTTTGAACCACTAAGCGACCATCAAATGATGCAGTTGGCAGAAAGACTTTCTATTTGTTTATTTTAAGTTGGTATTTGGAAAAAGATAACCAGAAAAACGTAACTCTCCAACAAAAAATAAGGGGCTAATGAGGCTATCTCTTCCTGCATACCAAAGTCTTCCAACTGCATACCCAGTCTTCCAACATACCAAGGAAGGACCTGTTTTTTTTTGTTTTTTTTTACAATGGAAATAAAAAGACTAAATTGCAGGGTATAGATAGCAGTAGAACCCTATACTATCTCATGGAGGAACTGTTATGGCTAAAACATACTTCTAGCAGAATTTTAAGAACCTTCAGATAAACTGAATTTGTGCTATGATTGAGGTCCTTAAGTCTCAGCAGGACACACTTCCAACTGCAATTAATGCAATGTAACTAAGCCAAAAGATCAACAATGAAGTGTCCAAGGAGTTTTCAAAGCTCTCAGAGCCACAAGACCCCAAGAGTAAAGCTAGAAACCTGATGTAAGAAAATATATAGATATAGCATGGGGACAGCACAGAAGTTCTGCTTCAACAGCTTCCTCTAACCTCTCCTGGTACTAAAAGAAGACAGGAAAATGGGCCAGAACTTTACTCCAGAATGAGTATTGATAACTATGTCTAGGCTGAAGAGATAGTCTGGCTAGTTTCCCATTTCCAAACATGTAGAACGTTGTCATAGAAGGAGCATGTTGCCAAGAGGCTGGTTTCTCTTTGGGCTTTGGACAGTTCAGTTTTGTTGTACACTTTGGTATTTGACCCATTCCCACCAGGACCTGGTCCTTGAAAGTCAAAGCTTCCTTCTACTTGGACTGGCAAGGCAGGGGTTTGATCTTCATCTAACAACACATCGAAGGTGGCAGTGGGAGATTCATAAACTATCTTCAGATTCTGGACTTCAAGGTCCACTCTTGTCGCTCCTTCATCTACATGAACCACTGGCATCTCTGTCGACCATACCAAGGGATCGTTCAGGGTGAGCCTTGACCAATCAGCTCCATAAGCCAAGGAATTATGCAAGACATAGGATGAAAGAACAGGGCATCTCTCTTTGTTTTCTGCTAATGAATTGAAAAGAACAGTAGTTTGTAAAACAAATTAAGACTCAGTGGGGCATTCACATCTACTGCTTTAAAGAACAACAGTCACTTTAAAACTAACGCATCACAGTTTTCTATAGCACTGAAAGCAGCTTACAGCCTATCCTAAATACAATAACAATGTCTTTTTTCCACGCAGCCACTTTAACAGGATTTAAACTACTGGTCCTTTTAGCTGGGAAGAGATGAGAGCAGATGTAACAGCTATAATCTCTCCAAGAACGAACACAAATGATGTTGTATCCAATTATTTCTGTACAGCTGTATGCACAAGTCAATCTTTTTCAAGCCACCTCAGGGAAAAGTAATTTAACAGGCCAAATGTGAGTACTACAGTAATAAAAGCTAGGTCCCTGTCAGGCTTTTTTGTTGAGGCTTTTTTGGCCACTGATATGTTACTGATATTCCAGAAGCAGGCCCCTGGACTGTCTTGATAGGGTTTTGCAGGCAGCAGTACAAGCTGGCCAGCTGACCTTCCAACTCATGTCCAGATGAGTCACAAACCCCAGCTGCCTAAGTCATGTTGCAAATGGGCCACCTATGACAATCCAGTCCACACTTTTTACCAGCCTATCAATCTGTTTCCCAGGCAGACACACTGGATTATGTGTGCATGTATGTCCAGTTAAAACTAAAGGTATGGAGGCCTAGGGGGAAAAGAAACCCATCAAAATTTGGGGACAAAACGATTTTTTCCAAGGAAAAAAAATGGAAATTTGAGGGAGCACTAAAAAAAAAATCATATGAAGTACTTTATCTTTTAGAATGAGTGAAATACTTTTGAAGACAAGGTAAGCAAGCTGCAGACATACGGCTCTGAAATCAGAGATGTATTTCAGCACCTAGAAGGATACCTCATCTTCACAAGGGAAGCATGCAGGGCTTTCATTGCTTCTCAACAACTGCACATCTTCTGTTGTCCTTTTGACCTCTCCTTCAAACCACTGTGACACATTTGGTAATAACCACAGGCTGGGTAAAAAGTAGCTTATTGCCCTACCTTGCAGGAGGGAGAAAAAAGATCAGGAGGAGGTGGGGGCAGAAACTGTACCAATGCCTCACAACAACTGACAGTTTTATTGAGAAATGTTCTAACCAGTTTAACTCTTTCTAACCAGAAAGCAAAATTAAGGTACATGTGCTAAGATAGCATTGGGTGTATCAGCTTGCAGTTTCCTCTCAGGTATTGAGTATATTTGCAGTTTTGCTTGTACAAAAGTAAGGCATTTGTAACTTTTGAATTCCATAAATATATCAAATATTGCAATTTTATATGCTAAGTTAAAGCAGTAAAATTAATTTAGGTTTGATATGATGGTAAGTATTGCATATATTTTAATTTTCCCTCAAAATTTCTGTTTTTGCTCCTTAGTTACTCCTTAGATACTAACAGGCTGCCATGTTCATGCCTCCTCCCCCCCAGTCACAAGAGTTAAAAGCGGGGGTCATTTCCTGCAGGAGCGCACAGGAGCAGAGCTCCAGCAGTAAAGAGCCCAGGGGGCAGGCACATGCAACAAGCCCCACCCCCTGCTCCCAGCAGCCCTTAGTCAGAGCAAGAAGCAGCCAGGTAAGTTGCAGAGCTCCCCCTGGCCCAAAACAGTCCAGTGGCACCTTTATTTAAGACCAAGTTTTATGCAGGTACAAGCTCTCCCTCCTCTGCGAGGACAGATCTGCACGTTCTCCCCCCCGCCCCCAATAGCTAGCAATCCAAAACAGTCCAATGGAGCCTGAGCAGTGGGTGTTGCCTTCTGACACACTTCCAGTGATGTCAGGGGGTGTGGCATATGCAAATAAGTTATGCTAATGAGTTCCTTGCACCTCTTTTTCTACAAAATGACCCCTGGTTAAAATCATATGTGATTAAAAGGCTAAGATTTCAATATACCTGGTACTACAGATTCTGTGCTTAAGCCTCAAATGTATAGCCCCAATTGATAAGTTCTCTCTTTGAAGCATTAGTCAAGCATCTAAGAGTGTTGGTAGTCAAAAACATACACAAGTTTTGTGTGCACTGTTATACCAGTTGAGGAGGGCTGTAAAACAGGCAAGTGGCCCCAGGGACCAACTCCTCAAAGCTACTCTTGAGCCCTCCACACTCACTCAAAGAAAACCCCACTCACCCATGGTGCTTTGGCAATTGAGGATTTTGAAGCCATTGTGCATACAGGCTGCCAGCAGTAGGTGTTCCCTTGTTGGATGCCATTTCAGCCGCCACACTCCACCCTGCACATGGGTGTCTGCCAATGATTCCTTCATGTTTCGGGTGTCCCACAGGAGAACATGTTCATCGTAGCTGGAGGAACATCCAACAGGTTTCAGATATGTGGTTTTCCAGAAAGTATGCAATTCTTATTTCAATCTTTCAATATTTAAGGCCACCCAATAAGGTATAGCTTAGCTAGAACTTTTTCCTTGGTTTTCTTGTGCCATGTCCAGTGTTCTATCCCAAATGTGCACAAGCAACCAATGCCCTATCCAAGGGTGTCAAACATAAGGTCCATGGGCTGGAACTGGCCCAGCCAGGGCTCTTCTCCAGCCCATGAGCAACTGCTGTGAGGGAGGAAACAGGAGGCTGCTGGGGGGAGCGGGGGAGAGGGCAGAGCCACTCCAATTGTGGCTTCAGCGTCGCAGAACCACCTCTGCAGCAGTCAAGCAGAAGCCCTTCGCTTCAACATAAGCCTCAGTGGCAAATTGGAGGCCACTGCACAGTGGCTGACGGGCAGGAGGAGCTCACAGCACCCAGCTGCTTCGCACTTTTCCACTGGTTCCCAGGCTCATAGCACTCACAGCGGGAGCAGGCTGGGGAAGGGGCTTGCCTCCCCCATGGGCAGCACCTCCAGTCTGCCCATGTGGGTTTTGCTCTGCACATCCCCCCACGGTAAGGACACACCAACTCGGAGCTTACCAGCTGCTTTCCTTTATAAAGTTTATATCTCTGGTACCTGGCATTACATTTTATTGCACACATGCCCCAGCCTGACAAAATTACATTTATTTCAGATCCAGCCCTTGTAACAAATGAGCTCCACACCTCTGCCCTACCCACATCACCATGACTGGGTCAGAAAAAGTATAAGAGACGGTATGACAAAGAAACTCACCTTCCTGTGGCCAGCAGATTCTCCCGGAGTGGATGGCACTGAATACTGCATACGCCCATTGAGTGCCTGCAATGGAATGAGAGCCCAAGTTGGGGCCACAAAGGCTGTTATGAGTGTGAATATCATTGCGTCCCACTGACAGGTATTCATTAGTGCCCAACCATTCTCTGCCACTGAGGAGGCAACCTTTACAATGGACCTTCATGCAGACAGCTACTGCTTACCTCTCGCTTGTGAAAACAGGAGCCTTTGGATTGCCCCGGACATCCCAGCCCCTTAGTTTGGAATCATCTCCACCTGGAAAAAACAACAACAACAAGACTAGTAACGCTCCAGCTTTCGGCTATAAATGACTGCACTGCCCCCTAGAGTCGGATTTGACTCGCTTTTGAGCAAGGGAAACCTTTACCTTTAAGATGTCCTTCCTTTGCAGTACACATGGAACAGAGAGCACCCACTATACAGAAATCACTAACACACCACACAGCAACAATTTACAAACAATACAACATGTATTTCTTGATTTATTAACTTATTTGACTATAGGTCTTAAGCTTATAGGCTTATAAGCACAACACGTCAACAATTTAAAATAGCATACAGCAATACATAGCAGCAGGTAAAACAAGGTTCAAAACAATGTTACATAATCATCACAAAATCATCACCTTCGCGAAGTGTAAGACCATGAATAATATAATTAAAAGAATACAATATTCTCTATAAGCATAAGATATATATAAAATATTAAACCTGATAGAATATAAAATATATACAAGAAGACAGGGAATTATAAAATACAGACTTCTACAATGCGAAAACATCAGTTTAAATTTAAATTTATATACGAATCTAAAAGCCCTATAAGTAGATCTTGTAAGGCCCGGTCACACGGAGCATTTGCCCCGCTGAAAGCACGGTACTCCAGCGGATTTTCCGGGCGCGATCTCACTGGAACATCTGGGAGACGTAGCACTCCCGTGGCCAACCCGTGGCAAGCCGCCGAAGCCACATAGTTAAAAGCTACCAGGATCGACCTACCAGCAAATGGTTTGCCACGGGCTGCCTCCTGTGGTGTGATCACGCCAGTGTCCTCTTTGCTGCTCTTGCCGACAATGGAAGCCCCGGTGTGCCGCCATCAAGTCTGATTGCCTAATCGCACATCAGATTGCAACGGTGCAAAGAGCCACGCCTCCCCCACGTTTTACGGGCCAAAGTAAACCTATAATTTCTTTTTAGCTTAATACAAACCACATTTCAATGTTGTTTTAAGGGAGATTTACTTTTAGATATTTTGCCACAACACATGTTATTTCTAGATCTGAGACTGCCAGCAGTGGGGCTATTACCCAAAGTTCCAGGGGGAGTTGATATTTGTTCAGACTGGGAGTAATTCTAAGGGGCTGCCCATTGATGGCAGAATAACAGAAGATGATCCAGTGTCTCCATTGCAACAGATGCCAGTCAACCTGATACAGGGGAGACTTCTACCAACAGAGTACCACTGCAGAAAAAGCCCTGTCCTAGAAGCCCCGCTTTCTCCCAGGCAGCGGGGACATAATGAACAGGGCCTTCCTTCACTGAGAATCTTAGCAATTGGACAGGTGACCCCTCGGGTATTCTGGTCCTAGACAGTTCAAGACTTTAAAAAAGCAAGAATTTAAATTATGGCCAGTAATAAATTGGAAGCCTATGAAGTTCTTTCTGAACAGGCAAGATGAATTTCCAATAATGTCCTCTGATCAGTAGCTTCTCTACTGAATTATGGTCCAACAACAAATTTCTGAGCAGTCTTCAAAGGCAGCTTCACAAAGAATAATCTGAAGGGCAGTAGGCAATTGCTGACACAAAGCCTTGCTGCTAGTGCTTGCAAAACTCCTCAGGAAAATCAACCCCCATTCAAAACAACAAGCTTTCAAGAGGGGAATTAAATGCCAGATTTCTCCAGCTATAGGCCCCAAGCAATTTGAAACTCTGACTAGGTCAATTTCTAGAGTCAAAATATAAAGCACAAATATTTGGCAAACAGCACAACTGTCATTGATCCAGAGCTTGTCTTATGGAGATGAAATCTGCCTCTCCCCACCCCAAGTCTAAGGAAAGAGATACATGGAATGGTAGCTAAAGCTGATATTAAGGCTAAAACTCCCCCTCCCCCTCATTATAATCTCAATTAATTTATTTTAGGAGCCCCCACGGACACTCCTATGACAACCAAAAGTGGCTGTCTGAAGGCATTAACGTAAAAGAACAGCAGTTAGATGGAAAGCCAAAGTATACCCTAATTGCTGGACTCCAGAAGTAGGAACCAGTGGACTCCTCCCTTGCTGTAAAAGAGAAACATGGCAGAGGGGAACATCATACAGTGCTAGGAACCCCCAGCAAAGAGATGCCCAAACACTCAGAGGGGGAAGGACATTCCCTGGCATAAGAAAACATATTTTCCTATGAAGACATTTAACTCTTTGCTTGATTATAGATGTGCTTCTGTATCAGCATGAAGATTAGGGAAATGCCTTTAAAAATAGCAGGGGGTGGGGTGGAGCCAAGGCTTACCATCTCACCCTTCCTGCAATTCAGGGTGGCTTACCAAACCAAGAATGAGAGATTGTATCAATATGGCCTAGACCTCATGAGCACTTCACCAAGGTGCTGTAGTCTGTGCTCAGTGGTGTAAATGCAGTTAGGCACATGTTCAGGCTATGCTGGTGGTAGTCCTGCATGACAGTCATTGGAAATGAGAAAGGAAAGTCTCCAGTACTTTCTGCAAAAGCAAAGTCCTGCCATTCACTGACCTGAGTAGACAACGTGTGCGTTCCAGTAGTCAAATGCAGCAATCCAGGCCTCAAAATCATGTGCCTTCCACTGTTCCTGAATGCACACAGAAGGTGACGATTCATCGACAGACAGCAAGCTCAGTCTCCCTTTGGAATCACTGCTGACCAACTGCAGTGGGGGTCCCCTTTAACAAGAAGTACAAAACCACAAGGATTCATTGGTGGTCCTTAGATGGAGAAGCTTCCACTATAGAGGTGAGTGTGACTGCCCATTTTTTAATCTTTCCCGCCACCCATGCATAGGAAATGCAGCAATCATAACAGCTGTAACAATTAAAAAAAAAAGTTATCAGATAACAGTACGCCAGACTAAGGTTGGGCAGACTTCTGTTCTAATCCCCACTCAGCTCAATGGATGACTTTCTGCCAGTCACAGTCTCTCAGTCTGACCCACTTTATAAGGTATTTGTGAGGGGAAAGGTGGGGAGAAATCACGTATGCCTCTCTGAGCTCTTTCAAGTAAGGGTGGACTGCAAATGTGGTATTTACAGCTGCTATCGGTGGCCATCGGTAGCAAGAACAGTTAGAAATGTGACTATGAACAAGCCACACTGCAAGCCACGAGCTGCAAGTAGCCATGCCTTTTAACTGTTTCTGCCGTCATCCAAAACATGTATAGCTCAGTCCTACACGTCAGCAATGAAAGGAAAAAGTGGATACAAAGGAAGCATTCCTGTCTACTGCAAAAACTCTACAACAGAAATTTCAGCTTGGTGGAAGAATTGTAAGAAAATCCCTGTTGGATCAGAACAAAGGTGCTTCTACACCAGCATCCTGTTCCCCACAGTGGCCAAACAGAAACAAGTTGCATTTCCTCAGCTCTTGGAATAGGGCAATGCTAGAGAAAGTTTACCCCCACCAACCGACCGAGTTTTCCATTTTTTGGCCGCTGCTCACCCCTGCTTTCGTCCCATAGACCAGTCCAGAGACAAAGCAAGGCATTCATCTCCGAGGTCAATGCTGCACAGCGGTTCCAGCCTGCAGCTCTTCTTCTACTGGAGAGAAAAGGAAGCTGATCAAGGTCAAACAGACCTAAGAAAGAGCATGTAATCCAACACCAGTTCCAGAACCCAGCTGGACACCTCTGCAAATGCCATTTCTTTAGGTAAAGAAGCACATTACAAACAAGCAAGAAATGGAGAGTGATTTTTAGTTCCTGTAAGAGAGAGAGGGTGTTCTCCCCAGACTTTGGGTTAGGAATTCACATACCCCACCATAAGTTCGTGAAGGATTCTACAGTTATTACACAAGAATTTTCTGGCAATCTTTTCTCCAACTGTGTTCATATTTCTATGGCTGCATTCAGACATCAAAATAAATGATGCTTTGGGCAACCAACTCTAGCTAGTCTACCAGGAATAATAAACTTCCGTTTGTGAATAAACCTCAGTTTATCTGCTTCTTGCCTCATCTCCACTTCCAGGTAGAGAGGACATTAACTATGAACAATAAGTGCATTTGTAAAACTGTACTTCTTTAAAAATAGTCTTAAAAAATAAGAAAAGAGGACATCCTCCCTACTCAAAATGTTTGTGAATTCAGCCATTAAAACAAACCACAATCAGTACTAGTGTGATTTGGGGGGGGGGGGACAGTTTACAAACACTAGATTGAAATCCCAGTTAATAGGATTGTGGCTGTTTGATAAAACTGTGGTTTATGGTTTATTGTGATGCCTGAATGCAGCCCATTTCCCTTATTGTTTCTCCCACCTATCAACTTTTGACTGTTCTCTTTTCCTCAAGGACATTGTTCTCAAACACTAAGTACAATTTGTGAAGGGAGCTACTTTGACTGTCTCAATCTCACCTACCTCATCTCCTGTCAGGCAGCAAAGCTCCACTGCTCCTTTGGCATTTGCAACGGCCAGCAAGGGATGCTCTGCAACAGGAACATGGGACCTTGAAAAGGAATCCACAAGAAGAGCTTTACCTGATGTCCAACAGAATGGTCACTACATCAAGCCTTTCTTTAGGAAGAAAATGCAAAAGGGGATCCTTTTAATTCACTTGAACCGTTTTAATTGTTGCTTCCAGTGTATGTAACCATGCCAAGTCCTAAAGTCAGTAAATATTTCACTGATCGACTTCCGGTTTACGAAGCAGCAATGGCAGACGCTCTCCCCAAACCGCGGGAGGGCGAATCGCACACCAGCGGCCTGGAGGGGTGCCACCTCAAGTGACACCCCCGCGGAGCCTTTGCGATAGGCTCCAGGCCAGAGGGCTTCTGAGGAGTAGCCTCTTCGATGGCGTAATGCCGGAGAATCGAGGCTCCCCTCCGCCCTGACGGTCCAGTTGCTGTGTGGCCTTCGGGCACAAGCTGGTTTGACCGGGACAAGCGCCGGAGATCAAGCGGAATATCGTTAAAATGCAGCGTGGTCAGAGAATCTGACCGACAATGAATGTGAGTTCTGAATAAAGCGGACTATTAAAAAAGCAGACCCCCCCCCCCCGGTGTAGGAGGAAATGGACGCAAAGAGGGACGCCTCTTATGCGAGGTAACCAATAAACGACGCGAAGGGGGAGAGTGGAGGAAAGCAGCATGTGTGCTGTGAGAGACTTACTTGATTTTTGACATCGTGGGGCGAGTTTCTCGAGTCGGGAGGAAGCGGTGGGAAGTGTAAACAAATCGGAAAAATGGCAGCCCAGCATCCAAAGTTAAAAACGAAACCGCCAGGCAGTCAGAGTCCCAAACCGAAAGAGGGGGCAGATGTCATTAAAGTACTAGCGGCTATGCTAAAGCTGACCGGATGGAGCAACTCGATGGTATTAACCAGCAACTGACTGTGATGAACAAGAACTTTGCATCTCAACAGCTCCAGCTGAATGAAACGGAAAAGAAAGTGGAGCAGGCTAATGAGAAAATCCAAGAGATGGACACCACAAATAAGAAGTTGAAGAAAAGACTGAGAGAAGTGGAAATAAAGCAGAATCTTCAAGAAAACCGTGTACTGCAATTACAGATGGGAAAAGCCAATATGATTATCAGGTTCCAGGGAGTTCCTGAAGCAGCGAAAGAGGATCTGAGGAGGCTGCTTAGCGAGATCATCGCTCCAGTGATAGGCTTTACAGCGGATGAACTGATAAAAGATATGGAGGTGGGCCAACTATATATAAAAAAAATAGCCTACCTGGAGAAATTGTGGTCAGATTCTCAAGAAGACAGACTAGAGATGCTATTTTAAAAGCAACATCAGCAACTCCACTGAAAATGGGAAATGTAATCATCAAGACGCTAAAAGACATTCCATTTGAAATCCAGCAAAAGAGGAAAAATTACAAAGATTTGATTGCTTTTCTTTAAACTAATGGAATAACGTACAGGTGGGCGATCTCGGAAGGTGTCATCTTTAAGATTAACAACAAAAGAGAGAAGATAGACTCATGTTTTTAAGGCTAAAGAGTTTTTGCGGCATCAGCTTGGAACAGAGGAAGAGTCTAAGGAGGAAGAAACGAAATCCAGTGACTCTGCTACCTCTGGAATGGAAGAAGACTCTGCTACAGAAATGGGTGCAGGACCTGCCAAAGTTGTCTACGATTTTAGAGTCAGAAAGCCGAAGTAAAGGCAGAAGGATTCGGAAATTGGCCTTTTGAAGCGAAGAATACGAAGATGATCAGAAAGTTCTCTCATAACAACTAACATAGTAACATATAAACATGGAAGATGAGCAGGAACTCTATAAGTATATTGTGATATTAACACTTGTGGTACTAATATTTACACGAACAGAAATAAGATCTCCTTCTCTTGGTTTTTTAGTTTAGTGTGGTTATCTTTCCTTTATCCCTAGTTGTAGTTTCCCTTCCTAATTTTCTTTGTAGTTTGTAGTTTAATGAAAAATAAAAATACCCCTTCGGGGGTTTAAAAAAAAAAATCACTGATCTACACTAGAAAACCGTGTCACCACCAGTACTATTTAGTAAATGGCAGTGCAGATTCAAATTAGAAACAGGCCGTTCAATTCACACCGTCTATCTTGTTTAGCTTCACAACAATGCTATGAGGTTGGCAACTGTATCAATTTTACAGACTGAAGCAGAAGCAGGGTTCTTTGCCCATGGCCACACAGCATCTATGGAAGAGGTGAACCCAGATCCAAAAGTGGCTTCCATCGGAGATGTATAAAGCAACATCTTTAGGGTACAGGTTGGTAAAAACATATACATGTCGGCTGTGGAATATTACCACCCTCCTCCCAACAAAATAACCATCATATACTAATCACAATGATATGCAAGAGAACCCCTCAAAATATCTCATCTGGGCCTACACTAGTACCATTTAATATCCAGCACAGCAGCTGTTTCTAGCCTCTGGACCTCAGTCAGTGGTGCAAAAACCTGCTCTTCAAAGTGATACAGGTAGAGTCGGCCCAGCCGGACATGGGGCTCATTGCTCTCATCAGGGTTCTGTGAAAGGAAGCAGAATAGAAACTTGCTACTTTTAGCATCTCTTGCCCATCCACCTCATCAAGTTGCTATCGCTGAATCAGAAAACTGCCTCACAAAGGAGATCAGAGATTCACAGATAAATCAAACCTTAATTGAGGACAAAGGCCACAGTCACATCCCCAGTGGGTGACAGGTCACAGCAGCCCTCTTCAGACTTGTTAGAAACACAAGAGGAACCTTCTACCTTTCATTGGATCAAAGTCAGAAAGCCAGGGCTCACAATGTGCCCTCAGTATCATCCAGCTGTCTTATTCTTTAGCAAAAGTACAGTTCACTTCCAAGTAAAATACTGCCAAGCATCAAAAAATGCACCAATCCAGCAAAACAAAACAAAAACCTTTGTACCAATATGGGTGGTCAATATACTTCTCATGCATTAACTCAGTAATTCTTACAATAGCTGTGCAAAGTAGGCCAGTTCTTCTACCTACCCATTATACCCTACAAATTACAAAGATGGAGGTGGAAGTGCAGAAGCAGAGAGAAAAGTGTTTTGTCTTAGGGCGACTAGTGAATTTTTTTGTCCAGGCAAAATCGTGACTCACAGACTTTGTACTATGAGCCCTGCACTTGACTTCATTTGGCATCTCACTCTGAACCTAATGTCCCAGAATTGGGGGGGGGGGGGGGAGAGAGATAAAGGGGAAAAGAACAAAATGCAGAATAAATCCATCTCAATATTCAATAAGTTACAGCACTAATCCTAACAACCAGTCTCTTAACTTGCATCCAGTGCTGTCTGGAAACCATCCCAGATGGCTCTCTGCCACAGGCTGTTCCACTCACCTTGCCATCAGGTTTCTTCAGCTGGTAGGTGCCACATGCCAAGATGTTATGCCAGCCTTCCACAGGGCACCACTCTACAGCATCAGCACTATATTCGGTATCCACCACTTGCAATGTTTGTATCTTGCACTGCGAAGCCATGTCAGAGAACACTCATCCTTGTCTGGAAGGAAAGGAGGGAGACCCAGAAAACAAATCAGTGATTTTGAAATTCTACAGTCACACACAGCATTCAAGGCCAAGCAGCCAAGTCCAATCCCCAAGGATCATTAAGTACCTCCTTCTATGTTGTATTAACTGATCTGGCACAGTTACAAATTTGTAGCTTCGACTTCACAGTCACCAATGTGGATTGAAATCCTTTCTTAACACATAATCTTGTCACATGTTTACAGTCCAATTCTGAACTCACAAGATGCCCTTTAGCAGGGAACATGCAGATCAGAGTTCCTCCTTTCAGACCCCCCAAAAAACAGCTACCACACACACACACAAAGCTTAAGGCCCCCTCCCAAGCGCACCTCTGCCCTCACTGTAGATACATCTGTGAATGGTTCACCTCATAGCCCTGTCATACTGCCTACAATCTATCCCCAGAGTGGAGTGGAGTTTAAGCAAAAATTCCCCTCTTAAGCCCTCTACCACTCTGACAGATGAGCCACACACTAGCAAAGTAGTCTATGTTTGAAATCCACATTCCCCTTACCCTCATATATATCCCCACACTTCTTCAGTGGCCTATTATAGGAGCTGTAAAGGTTCTCTTCTTTAACATTCCACCAGTAGACCAAAGTCACACCACATGTATTATAAATAAACAGCCTTTTCTCTCCTTTCCTCTGGGAATTTTAAAGCCTCCGCTCCCCCTGAACCTACCAACACCCACAGAAAAAAACCATCCAAAATAA